TGGAGCTGGACTGGGGTTTGATCTCATGACCTTGAGATCATGATCTGAGCCAAAATCAAGATGCTTAACTGACTAAGCCACCCTGGAACCCTGATAATCTGAGATTTAAAAGACCAAACACTGAGATAAGCTGAGCAAATCAGGTTCAATCATTTAGGAATTACAGAATGGAGAATTATCAAGAGCATCTGTAATAATGTGGTGAAAGCTGAAGGTAGATGAGCCCTGGTAACTTATGGCTGTGTTTAAACTAAAACTATGAGGAAATAACTGTGATTAAGCCGAAGTCAAACAGAATAGTTGTAGAGAGAGAAGCAAAGATACAGGAAAGAGACAATGAGGCAAAGGGAGCAGGTACTCCCTCCACTGTGTCTAGAATGGCTTTTGCCTCTTCTTTACTCCATACCAAAGCTGAGGCCCTTGACATTTCCTCAGGAAGTCTTCCCAACCAGCCATGCTGGGGGCAGGAGAGCAATGGTCTCTAGAGAAGGATCATTTTTCTTTCTAGCCCTGAATGCCAAGCCTCCCCCTACCCGCACGCCCCCCCGCCCACCTCAATCTAATAATTCAAAAATGGTGTGCTTAGGACAAAACTTCCCATAACCAATTATTTCCACTTTTACCATCCTCCTCTGGCTTTAGATAATTTTGCCATAAGCATCTTTGCCACATAACTAATTGGCTATAAGGCAATATTGGCTCAAAAGTAAAAAGTGACATTTATTGGCTTATTTATTGGTTTTTATTGGTTTATTTTATTGGTTTTATCAACTGGTTGAGTTTGGTTTCATTTTTCCATTTATGCAGAACTCCCATTTTTACATTATATAAATCTTAGCCCTCATACAGTGGCACAGAGTTTTGAAACCACATTTCTCATAGAACTTTGTATGTCTAGCAAAGGACATGTGGCAATATGCCAAGAACAAACAACAGTGTAGAAGGCTTTCACAATGCAATACAAAGTTCAATTACAGAAATGCATCCTACTCCTTGGAAACTGATACCTCTTTTAATGAAGGAAGAAACCTTAGCAAAAAACATTCAATGTCCAATGAGGAGAAGAACCAACAAGCCAAAAAAGAAAAGTATAATACCATGAATGAAAGACTTTGAAGACAAATGCTTAGGTATAATCCACAAAATAAAAGCAGTTATTTAGGGATGTGTGGGTGGCTGAGCAGTTGAGCATCTGCTTTCGGCTAGGGTGTGATCCTGGAGTCCCAGGATCAAGTCCCACGTGGGGCTCTCCATGGGGAGCCTGCTTCTCCCTCTGCCTGTGTCTCTGCCTCTCTCTCTCTCTATCATGAATAAATAAATAAAATCTTTAAAAAATCAGTTATTTATGGCAGTACTGCCATGAATCTACACTACACATTTTGAATGTATTCAAATATTTTGTATTTTGCCATAAAGTCTGTTTAAGTTCTTCACTTTTAATTATGTCCATTTTAATGAATGTCCCTCTTTTATTTTTCGTGATTTTATCTTTTATGGTGAAATTGTCTTTTGGCTAATTAAGTTATGTGGCTAAAATGCTTGCAGCAAAGATGCTTTCAGTGAAAATATGGACACACACTCCTCCAAAGCACCCTTCCAGCCCCAAAGGGGATGGGAAAAGGAAAATAATATACAAAGCAATTGCAAGATGGGAGTGTGGGTGGGATCTTTCTGCTCTTTTTCTGTGTGACTGAGGCAACAAAGGTAGCAAAGTGACCCTTTTGATGACTGAGCTGAGAAATAAACAGGCTGAAGTGCAAGCATGGGCTGGGGGTGTGTGTGGCAGAGTGGCAGTGGGTAGGAAATAGGGGAAACAAGGGAACCAGTGTCTGAGTGCCCTCTTGGCTCACCTGCTTTGGCTTGGTAACTGAGGGGTTTAATATTGATTTTTATAGAACTGATAAGGTGTGTTAGAACAGGATGTTGTTTTGGCCTTTCCTGGATCTTTCCTCCCCAGCTGTCAAGAAGGTTGATGTGTCCTGGCCTTGATAGCTGTACATTCCACAAGACAGTCTGAACAAGGTAAGGTACATAGGTTCTCATAAAGTAGCTCTTTTTATATTGGCTTGTTGTGCATGTAAGAAGCTGTAATGACAGCACTCTGATTTCATTTCTTATATATTTCGCCTAAAGTGAAAGGATACGTGCTACCTAGTCCTAGATACCTAAATCCAGTTTTCCCCACATTTATTCTGATCCCTAGGTTGGGTTAATTGCCTTTCCCAGGTTTCCATGGCACTCTGTGCTTCCTCACAGGGCAGCCGTTTACTCCCCACAGACTAAACTCCCAGAGATGAAGAGCATGCTGTGTTCCCATTGTCACACAGGGCCTGATAGACAGGAGGCCTTGAATAATATTTGATGAATGAATGTATGAATGATCTAATGCTAAATACCTTGGTGTTAATAAGTTCTGGATCCCCAGGACTCTGGAATGACCATTGTAGACCCCCAGCGATTTGAGGCCCCATAGCCCAGCCAGCTGGTTGTGCTCCTGAGCTGCTCCCACAGGCCCCATTTCCTGGTCAGAAGCCTGGCCTCTTTCCCCTACTTTTAGTCTGGGGGTCCTGCCTGCAGGGGTTGACTACTCTTCATGTTTTCCCCAATATTGGGTCCAGGCTAGATTTCCCATCCCATGCCTTGTCACAATCATTAGATTTTCTTATGCCAATCATTTCTGGGATGAAGTGGGGATGAAAAGGAGGAAATAGGAATGTCAGTCTTCTAACATCAACCTCTTTGAAACATGAAGGCTGAGAATCTTGATCCTATGGCTCTCACTTCTGGTATCAGCTGACACTACCATCTCCAAGTTTTGTCTGGCCTCATGTGCTTAGGAAATGCTTTAGTCGGTTTTTCTGATTCCTGGAGAACTGCTCTTGTTTTTGACATTGATGTGAAGCTTCATCTTTAAGGAAGAGGGATTGAATTCTTTTTTTCTTTTTTTAAGATTTTATTTATTTATTCAAGAGAGACACACGGAGAGAGGCAGAGACACAGGCAGAGAAGCAGGCTCCCTGCGGGGAAGCCCCATGCAGGACTCAATCCCAGGATCACCACCTGAGCCAAAGGCAGATGCTCAAACACTCAGGTGCCCTCCCTCCCTCCTCCCTTCCTTCCTCCCACCCTTCCTGGTAGAGGTAGAAATGGTGGTACTTTTCTTTTCCCTTTTGGAGATTTGCTGGTTACATTTCAAATAGAAAAGATGTTCCCAATGCCTGGAATAGGAGTTAATTTTACATTGCAGATGCCCCAGGCACAGAACATGGCCGGTTGAGTTGGTAATTGACAAGGAATGATAGGGCCTGAGAGCTCCCCATGCTGACCCCAAACTAGGTTTCCTTTTATTAATTTTTCAGGAGAGCCATAGTTAAAAATTAAGCTATAAATTTATAATTAAATCATTAAAAACAAAGACAACAAATATTCGATATAACCACTTCCTAATTATTTTACTGCCATATATGCTCTTGAGGTTATTTGTTTATTCTACATGTATTGTGGAAGTAATTGTGTGATATTATGTGTCTCTACCTGTGTTCAGTGATGTCACTATCAGGAGTTTAAAGTCTGCTGTGATGGCAGTATACACATCACAGATGTTGTCAACCACTACAAATCAGGGCTTTTTAAATTTGGCTGTTAAACATTTATTAGTATACCACTGCGTTCTATTGTCCCATCTATAAAGATCATGAAATTGAGGACTAGAGACGTTAAGTGATTTGCCTACAGCCATACAGCTAGGAAGTGGTAAAGCTGGGATTCAATCCCAGGTTTTTGTTTGTTTGCTTCCTTTTTAAAAGAAAAATATATTTCCAAAGCCCACATGTCTTCCATTCAGCTCCTCTTCCCTGAGGTAGGAATGTTCAAGCTGGGTAGGCGTCTCAAGGTTAACCGCTAATCTGGCTTCTAAACATCACACTACCTTTTAATATTGGTATATCTAGGGCCATGTTGGGTCAAGTATTCTATATAGTATCATCATTTGCTCCCTTTGGCATGGGGATAGCGTCAAGACTCTGGTCAATTATCTTGACTTACTTCCCATCCCTGTGGAACAATGAAAAGAAACTTGAATTCCTATCCCAGCACTACCGTCCAACCCCGTGACCTCGAAAATTCATCTTTGCTATCTTAAATTTCAGCAATCTACTCTATAAAATATGGACAAACATAATCCATTTGAAGGGTTGCTCTAGGGAGTAAATGAAATCTCACTCTCAAAGCACCTAATACAGTGTACCCTGTGTATAGTAATATAACCCAACTGCTATTAATTTTATTGTGTACAGGCATGGTGTGAGGGTTTTATATGTTTTCTCCATTATAACTGTGGCCACATAGAATTCTTTGATTTTCTTCATCTGCTCTTTCTCTCAGTCTTCCACAGTTCAGTAGTCAAATGCACCACCATTTACCTACAGATTTAGATTCCAAATCTAGGTGTTTTCTTCCCAGCAAATGCTCTTGCTTCTATCTGAAACATTTCTCTTATCCCATCCCTTCTGGAAAGCCACCCCTAATTTCCCAATTCTGAGGGATTATAACAAGGAGTACTTCATTCCAGCTGCCATCATTCTACTAAAATTACTGGTTTATTTCTGTCTGGATCATTCGCCGCTGTGTCCCCAGCGCCTAAGAAGTGCCCGGAATAGGTAGGTACTTGATAAGCATTTTTTGAATAAAGGTATGAAAGGGCAAGGATTATGTTATCAATTCACAGGTGGTAAGGCTGTGGCTCCTACAGAGGAGGTATTTTGCTTTGGGTTAGTCATTAAATTGCAGACGGGAGGTTTAAAACCAGGGCTCCAGGAACACCCTCCCCGGATCCCGCGCAGGTCCCTCCTAGGCCGCGCTTGCGTTGGCTCCTACCTACTAGCCCCGCCTACTTGAGCCGGCGCCGTCTCCGTCACTAGTTTGACCCTGGGGCGGCCGCCGTAGCGCGTCGCCTCCGTTGCTGTGGGAAACGACCCCGAACCCGGGAGAGAGGAAAGACGTTTCCCGCCGGCGGGAGCTGCGTTTGTGGTGGCGGGGCTCGCAGCTGTGCCGCACGATGGCGGACCAGCTTTATCTGGAAAATATAGACGAGTTCGTCACGGACCAGAACAAGATCGTGAGGAGCTAGGACTGGGGAATGTGGGCAGGAGACTGCAGTCCTGAGGGCGGCAGGGGCCTTGACCCCTCTGCGCTTGGCCTGGTGGTGGGGACTGGCCGAGGGCGACGGGTCCCCACGTCTCGTGCCCCAGGGCTCGCGAGGGCTCGCAGGGGGAATTGCTCTGGCGCGCGCTAGTCCGCGTCCCTTGGGTTGGGCGTGCCGGGTGCTGTGCAAGGAGCAGGGGCCAAGAACAGGCGTGGAGGGAAGGGCCCTGGTAGATAATAATTCTGAGGTGTTTCTGCGTCTGTCCGTTGAGGTGAAATGGTAGTTTAAAGCCCCAAGTTGACTGTTGAAGAAGTTGTGCCGTGATTGGGTTAGGTGACTAGTGTTTCACCTTTCAACCGTCAGGTGGTATTCGCAGGCTTGACCAGCCCCCTCAGGGTTGGAATGAAAGATTGAGAAGATGAATGTGAGTGGACTTTACAGACCTACAGACCCCATTGACGATTGAGTGACGATTGAGTGCCTGCTGTGAGCCTGGGATGTACAATATTGCATTTAATCTTTACAGCGACCCCAAAGGGCGCCGGACGTATCCCTATACTTGAAGCAGAGGAACCACATTACTTACTTGTAGTTAGTGAAGGATAGGCAGTTTTCCAACCTAGGTCTGTCCCTTTTACTAATGCTTTCGCCTCACCTATGTTCTTAATTATTGGAAACTCGGCATTTAGAATTGGAAGACTTCCAAGAGGTGAGGAGCATCCAAGGAAGTGACATATGACAAGAGAGTTCAAGGAAGGATGGAAGGAAGACCAAGGCTTGATGCCAGTGGATTCCAGTCTGACCCCAAATACAGCATTCGTCCACTTCCTTTTTTTTTTTTAATATTTTGTTTTATTATTTATTAGAGAGGCAGAGGGAGAAGCAGGCTCCATGCAGGGAGCCCGACATAGGATTCGATCCCAGGTCTCCAGGATCAGGCCCTGGGCCAAAGGCAGGCGCCAAACCGCTGAGCCAACCCGGGCTGCCCCCATCCACTTCTTTAATTCCCTGGCCCCTGCACCACCTGTGCCTGCTAATGTTTGCATTAGCAAACAGGCACGGCTGCAACTTTTCCTTAGACGTTTATGTCATACACTGCAAAGTAATCTAGCTTCTGGATGAATTTTAATAGTTATCAGTGGTGGCCACAAAAAAGGACAGAGTGTGAATAAAGGGTAAAACAAAGAATGTGAGGAAAATGAGAGCTTTTTCTTTGTATGTATATTCAGCCTTTCATTTTAGACTTTTGTATTAATTAGCCTGTGAAACAGACTTTTTAGTGTTTGTAAGATAAATATCTCAGTCCTACCTACCCAGATGGACTGTTCTTGGCAAAACTAGGGTGGCATCCACTGTAATATATAAGGCACAATCATCTGAAAGTAGGAATCTTTAGGAGCCCCTGGGACTAACCTGTACGCTGGAATAATTTAATGTTAATGTCATTAATGTTTTTTGACATTAAAAAAACAATTCCTTCTTCTTGCAGGTGACATACAAATGGCTGAGCTATACACTAGGGGTTCATGTTAACCAGGCCAAACAGTAAGTACAATTTACTACGATTTTTATTCACACTGGAGTTGTTGTTGTTGTGTGTTTTGTTTGTTTTGTTTTGCTTTGTTTTAAGCTTTGCAGATAGCCTTGAGGTTAGAAATTTTTTTTTCCCCCGGAAAATAGGAAAGAATACTATTTTTACTACCTTTCACTAGATTTGTATTTATTTAGGAGATAGGTGGACTTATATACAAATATGTGGTTGTATATTTGCTGGATTTATTTGTAGCCTTGGCCTCTGGTTAACATCATTTTGTTACTTCAAATTTATTAAACGGGCTACATCTCAGATTTTGTATGCTTGTCATCTTGTATCTTCATTACATTTTCACACGTGCTCCTTAGGCCCACATCTGGGTGTTATTGAAGTACTTTCATAATGAGGTCAACAGGTGTACTGGGGAGGACTATTTAAATGAACTAAAATGGGAGTGTCAGGATGATGCAGAGCATTGCCTTTCTTGAACTTTTGCTTTATCACCTTTGCTTGCTGAAATTTGTAGTTCAACTTGAGGCCAAAAGGGAAAAGGAAAGCTTTTGAATTAACTTCCAAAATTTCTTAAAAATCTTGTCTCTATCCCAAGAGGAGGAATTGGTAAATAGGCTGAGAGCATATATATTGAGTTAAATACTCATTTAATTCAATTTATTCCTAAAGTGGTCTGATTTTTTTTTCCCCCAATTTTTTGAGTCGTGGGAGCTTTCTTTGAGTCAGGCAATGTTCCATGAATCTTAGAAAATTCCTGATAACTAGAATGGGTTGATTTGGCTTTTTGTGGGCTATTTTTGACAGACCTAGAATCTGGCTTTGGCTATGATTATGCCTTCAAGACCTGAAACTCTTGGCCTAGGGATGAATTTGGACTGACCTTTATCTGAGATTTTCTGTTGCTAATGCCAGTGCTGGCCCAAACCCAAGGGTTTCAGGTAACTTTCAGAACGGACATATATGACTAATTGTTATGTTTATAGATATTTATGAAATAACTATTACTATATAAGCCTGTTGGGGCTTAAAGGTGCATATTGAGGGCTGGAGATGAAATAAAGTTGCCTGCGATTTTATCGTAGTACTTTGATTGCTTGTAATTTTTATAGAATTAACACACTCTCTAGCCCCTGTCTCTCAACCAACTTCATCCCATGCCTCTCTCTACCTTACTTAAACTGTAGCCATATTCGTCTTTTTGTCCGTCAAATATGCCAGGCTCATTCTGACTTAGAACATTTGAATCATTCCCTCTGTCTGGAATGCTCTTCTCCCAGCTGTTCTCATCCTTCAGGTTTTAGCTCAAATGTCACACATTACTTTTTGCAACCACCCTTCTCTAATGTTTTATTTCAGGTATCCCCATCCCTTCCTCTCTGTAATATCACTCTGTTAACTACTTTCTTAATTTTTTTTGAAAAGCAGCTTTATTGTGATAAAATTCACATACCGTACAATTCACCCACTGAAAATGTATAATTCAGTAGTTTTTAGTATGTTCAGAGTTACGCAGCCATCACTATAATTAGTTGTAGAACATTTTCATCACCTCCAAAAGAAACCCTGTATCCATTAGCACTCACTTAGCATTTTCTCTCCACTCCTTTCACATCCTTCCCCCACCCTCCCAGCATTAGGCAATCACTAGTAAACTCTGTCTATAGATTTACCTATCCTGGCCATTTCATATGAATGGAATCCTGTAATATATAGTCTCGTGTCTGGTTTCTTTTGCTTAGCGTAATGTCTTCAAGGTTTGTCCATGTTGTAGCATATATCAGTACTTAATTCCTTTTTAGGGCTGAATAATATTCCATTATATGGCAAGTTAGTTTCCTAGGGCTGCCATAACAGAATGCTATGAACTATGTGGCTTAAAACATTAGAAATTTATTGTCTTGCAGTTCTAGGGGCTAGAAATCCGAAATTAAGGTCTTGACAGGGCCATACTCTCTCTGAAACCTATACAGAAGAATCCTTCATTCCTTCCTAGATTCTGGTGGTTTGCTGGCAACCTTTGGCATTCTTTGGCTTATAGCTGCCTAACCCCAGTGTCTTTGTTGTTACATTGCCTTCTTCCTGTGTGCCATATCTTACATGGCCATCATATAAGGATACCAGTCATTGAATTAGGAGCCCACCCTACTCCAGTATGACCTCATCTTACCTAATTACGTCTGCAAAGATCCTCTTTCCAAAGAAGGTCACACTCTGGGGTACTGGTGTTTAGGATATCAACATATCTTTTTTTTTGGTGTGGGGGGGGCAGGCACAGTTCAACCCATAACACACTTAAATAGTACAATGATGGACATTTGGGTTGTTTCCACATTTTGGTATCATGAATAATGCTACTATGGATATTTGTATACACGTTTTTATGTGTTTATACGTATTCAGTTCTCTTGGATATATACCTATGTCTGTGTCATAGAACATTTTGAGGAACTGCCAAGCTGTTTTTCAGAGTGGCCACACTAATTTAAAATCCCAGCAGTAGGTTATGGGTTGCAGTTTCTCCACATTCTTGCCAAGTCTTTATCATCTTTTTTGTTTTAGCCATCTCCTAGTAGGTGTGAATTGGTATCATTATGGTTTTGGTTTGCATTTCCATAATGACCAATGATGTTGATCTTTTCATGTGTTTATTAGCCATTTGTGTAACTATGCCTACTCAGATCCTTTGCCTATTTTTTTCACTGAGTTGTCTTGTTAAATTGTAAAGAGTATTTTTATATATTCTGGATGCAAGACCCTGATCAAATATGTATGTGCTGCTGAAGTGAGCACCTGATCAGATATATGATCTGCAAAAATTTTCTCCTATTCTGTGGGTTGTCTTTGCACTTTTTTTTTGGTGAAGAAATTTAGATTTATACCCAGCTGGACTCAGTTTAGATGATCCCAATTTGGTTGGCAACATCCAAAGCATCATAATCAGGAGCCAGTTGAATATATGCTTTCTTCACTCCATCAGGCCTGATCAAGGTGTTGACCTTGGCCACATCAATGTTGTAGAGCTTCTTGGCAGCCTGTTTGATCTGGTGCTTATTGGCCTTGACATCCACAATGAACATGAATGTGTTGTCTTTTCTTTTTCTTCATGGCTGACGCAGTAGTCAGGTGGAACTCGATGGCATGGAGATCAAGCTTGTTTCTCCTGGGGGTTCTCTTTCTAGGATATTTGGGCTGCCGCTTTAGAGATGCAGTCTTGGGTCATCGGAATGTATGTGACGTGTGGATCTTTTTTTTTTGTGACTGTGCACACCTTTCAGCACTGCTTTTTTAGCTTTCAAAGCCTTGGCTTTGGCAGGCACAGGGGCTTCCTTTGTCTTTGGCACCATCTTCGTGAAAGGGTGTCTTTGCACTTTCTTGATGGTACTTTTTGAAGCACAGAAGTTTTTATTGTTGATGAAGCCCAATTTCTTTTACCTTTTTTAAAAATATTATTTTTAAGTAAGCACTATGCCCAATGTGGGGTTTGAATTCAGGACCCCAAAATCAAGAATTGCATGCTCTACCAATTGAGCCATCCAGGTGCCCCTGTTTTATCTTTTGTTGCTTGTGCTTTGTATATAGTATGTATCTAAGAAGGCTTTGCCCAACTTAAGGTCATGAAGATTTACTTCTATGTTTATTTACTTCTATGTTTAAGAGTTTTGTAGTTTTAGCTCTTACAACAATAACTATCACTATATTTTAGGTTTCTCCATATCATGTGCTTGTTAACATCTTAAAAATCCTTCAGGCCTCATAATAAGAATACGCTGTAATTTTCAAATTAGGTGTTGGCTCAAGCTTATTTTATTAATTTTTAGTTTTAATTTTTTTAGAGAGGGGCGGGGGAGGGGCAGAGAAAGAGGGAGAGAGAAAATCTCAAGCAGGCTCCATGCCCAGCACAGAGCCCCATGGGGAGCTCAATACCACAACCCTGAGATCATAACCTGAGCTGAAATCAAGAGGTAGGAGCTTAACTGAGCCACCCAAGTGCCCCAGCTGAAGCTAATTTTATTTTATTATTTATTTATTTATTTATTTTGAAGCTAATTTTATTTTATTTTTAATTTTTTTAAAAAATTTATGATAGAGAGAGAGAGAGAGAGAGAGGCAGAGACACAGGCAGAGGGAGAAGCAGGCTCCATGCACCGGGAGCCCGACGTGGGACCCGATCCCGAGTCTCCAGGATCGCGCCCTGGGCCAAAGGCAGGCACCAAACCGCTGCGCCACCCAGGGATCCCTTGAAGCTAATTTTAAATGAAGCCCTCAAATATAGACACTATTTCCTCCAGGAATCATTTTGTCTATAGTGTAAGGAAAGGGTCCAGTTTCATTTTTTTTAGATGTGTATATCCAGTTGATCCAGAATTTTATAATCATTACTCTGACATTTTCTAGGTCTGCCTGCTTCTACTAGGGTATAAACTGCATGAAGGTGGGGAACATGTTTATCAAATTGATCACTTTTCCATTTACTATTGCTGTGAAACAAGTTATCCCAAAATTTAGCAGCTTGAAACACCCATTTTATTATGTTCATAGATTCTTTTGGTTTGGAATTTGGGCAGGGCACGGGGAAAATGGTTTATTTCTGCTCTATAATGTCTGGTCTTCAGCTGGGAAGCCTCAATGGTGGGGGGCAAATCCTCTGTGGGGATCTTTATGCACATAACTGTTGGTTGATGCTGGTTATTTGCTGGGACTTCAGCTGGGGCTATTGATCAGATATTGCATGTGTCTTTGTATATGGCCTGGGCTTTGTCAGTGGGGTTTCCAGGTGGATGGACTTCTTACATAGCAGTTCAGGACTCCAAAAGCTGATGTTCCAGCACAAGGCAGAAGCTGATTACCTTTTCTGACTACCCTCAGAAGTCAAGCAGTGTCATGTCTGCTTCATTCTTTTGGTTAAAATGAATCACTAGCCCTCCCAGATTCAAGGGGTGGGGATGGACTCCACCTCTTTATGGGAGAATGTAGAAGAGCATATTGGATGGGAGATATTGTAGCCATCTTTGGAAAATACAGTATGCCACAATCATTGTACCTTCAGTGTCTGGCTCTTAATAAGGGCCAATAAATATTTGTTGAGTGAGTACTAAGCACTATGGTAGATATTTTCACAAACACGTGTCTCACATAATCTTTGTAACAGTCCAATATGATGGATGTTATCAACCTCTTTAACAGTTGAGAAAATTAAGACCTAAGTGTCCTGTCATCTTTTAAAATTTTATCTATAGTGGAAGCATTTTAAGTATCCTTGGTGGTACTGAGGAAGTGATTGGGCATGCAGGTGGTAACAGCTGTTTGTTGTCTTGATGAGGAGTTAGGTGGATGAGGTCTGAGAATAGATTCTAGGCAGAAGAACAGTCATACAGAGGAGCAAGGGGAACCACAGAATGTTTCCTAAGGCTGAAAATTGTATGAATGTGGGGAATGGTGAGAGATAGAGGGGCTAGAACCAGAAGGGTCTTCTCTATCATCGTTAGGATATTGGAGTCAATCCTGAAGAGATTGGGAAAGACTGAAGACTTTGTAACAAGGATATTCAGAAAAGAATTCAGACTACCTCTCAATATCACTTATTGACTAAAAGTCATCTCAGACTTAACATTGCCTAAAACCTAACCTCTAATTTCTCCCCCAGCACCTGCTTTTTCCTGTTGCCATAAATGACAATTTTATTCTTTGAATCATTCTTGACTCCTCTTTCTCTCATTTCCCAAAATCAGCCCACCTCAAATTCTTTTTTCTTCCTTTAAATTATACCTAGAATCCGTCTACTAATTGCTACCTCCATTGTTAATGTCCTTGTTGAGCTACCATAATCTCTAGCCCAGATTACTGCAGTAGCCTCCTAACTAGTCTCCCTGCGTCCTCCCTTGCCCCTCAATAGTATATTGTCCACACAGCAGTAGGAATCCTTCTAATCATGTTATTTCTATTCTAAACCTTCTAATGACTTCCTTGCTTGAAATCCTATAAAGCCCTGCACGTCTGGCACTTGGCTCTCTTTTCCCTACCAGTCTTCGTCCTCCACACTTGCCTCTTTCCTGTTCCTTGGACCTTGCTTATTTGCATATTTACTTCAGAACCTTTACATTCTTGTTCGCTGTGCCTGAACTTTCTTCCCCAGGATATCCACATTGGCGGCTCCCTCACTTCCTGCAAGGCTCTTCTGCTCATGAGGTCTTCCCTAATGACCTTATATAAAATAACAAAACTTCTCAGGCACTTTCTAATCTTCTTACTTTTGTTTTTTTCCATAGCTTTACTACTGTCTGACATTATATACTTTTTTTTTTCTCTTCTATAATATAAGGGTAGGAGTTTTAACTCCTTTGTTTACTGCTCTATCCTTAAGGCATAGAACATAAAGTAAAATTGTATTGACCAAATGACTTGATTTACATTTTTTTGTTTGTTTTTAAAGATTTTATTTATTTATTCACGAGAGACATAAAGAGGCAGAGACACAGGCAGAGGGAGAAACGGGCTCCATGCAGGAAGCCTGACAATGGGACTGGATCCCAGGTCTCCAGAATCACGCCCTGGGCTGAGGGTGGCGCTAAACCGCTGAGCCACCTGGGCTGCCCTTGATTTGCGTTTTTAAAACTTCACTGTGCTGGCCTTGTAGGTAATGGGAAAGAGGCAGGGCAGAATTGACGTTTGAAATTGAAACAGTCCAGGTAAGAGGTTTGGGGCGTGGAGTCAAAAATTACTTGGGAGGAAGAACCAATGAGATTTGGAAACTCACCGAATAAGGAGAAATGCAGGTTGACCTCCCGATTTCTGGCTTGGGTGGTTTGAGCAGATGATGATGTTGACAGGATTAAATGAAAACATGGGGATGAATGAAACCAAAAGGAGGATAAGTAGTAAGGTGACCAACCATCCTGGTGTGCCTAGGACTGTCAGTTTTAGCACTAAAAGTCTATGTCTCAGAAAACCCCCAAGATCCAGGCACATCTAGATGATTGGTCTCTCTATAAATTAAAAAAAGGTAGCTGACAACAGAATTCCAGCCATATGGAAAAAGAAGTAGTCTTTTTTTTTTTTTTTAAGATTTTATTTATTTATTCATGAGAATACACAGAGAGGAGAGAGAGAGAGAGAGAGAGAGAGGCAGAGACACAGACAGAGGGAGAAGCAGGCTCCATGCAGGGAGTCTCACGTGGGACTCGATCCCACATCTCCAGGATCAGGCCCTGGGCTGTAGGCGGCGCTAAACCGCTGAGCCACCCGGGCTGCCCAGAAGTAGTCAAGTCTATGCAGGAATGGGGCAGAAGCAGTTGGTCACTCCATGTAGAAATAATGAGATTCAGTGGGGCATGGGATCATGGAAGCTAAGAGAGCCGATGCTTCAAGAAGAGTGGTTAACAGTTGGGTTGAGTTTCCCTTGGAATTTTTGAGTTTTTAATTGTGGCAGAAGTATGAGTGGCATTTCAGACGCTCATTAAATGTTTCTTGAAGTAAAAGACACAAATGATGCATCTCTTTTATTGTTTTTGTTAAACTCTTTCCTTAATCTGTAAGTTGTTACAGGGAGCCACCTTCTGATGCTTGCTGGAACACAAGGACAAAAAGGAATGTAGGGATAATACTAAAAGCATTATTTTTTTTTAAAGATTTTTATTTATTCATGAGAGACAGAGACAGAGAGATAGAGAGAGAGGGAGAGGGGCAGAGACACAGGCAGAGGGAGAAGCAGGCTCCATGCCGGGAGCCTGACATGGGACTCGATCCCCAGTCTCCAGGATCAGGCCCTGGGTCGAAGGCAGGCGCTAAACTGCTGAGCCACTGGGGCTGCCCTAAAATCATTATTTCTACATGGAGTGGCCATTTCAGGTTTATGAATATTCTGAATACTAGGCAGTGTGAGTAAGCTGTTAAATTTTGCAGTTCTGAAATAGCACGGAGTCTGAGTGAACATAAAATTGAAATTTCAGAACTAAACACTTATATACATAGTGCTTCTTAATGTTTTAGAGCAGTCCCTCTGAGAATCTACTGAAGACCCTGAACTGGCTCCCCCTGAAAAATACATATGCATTTTGCTTACAGTTTTGGGGGTGCAGGGTTATAAATGGCCATATGAATCCCAGGTTAAGAGAATCACTGATCTAATACAGCCTCCTGGTTTATTTTATTTTTTTTTTAAGTTTTTTTTATTTATTTATGATAGTCACAGAGAGAGAGAGGCAGAGACACAGGCAGAGGGAGAAGCAGGCTCCATGCACCGGGAGCCCGACGTGGGATTCGATCCCGGGTCTCCAGGATCACACCCTGGGCCAAAGGCAGGCGCCAAACCGCTGTGCCACTCAGGGATCCCCCAGCCTCCTGGTTTAATACCTCAAGATTAAGAGGCCTAGAAAAATTATTTAACTTACCCAGGATCATATAATTAGTGACTGAACTTTTTCTTGATTCATTGTTGTGTCCATTGTATGTTATTGCACTGTTTTAATGCAGATTCAGTCTCTCTTGGTTTATAATTAGATTTCTTTTGTTTCAGTTGTTTGGTCACTGTGCCAACTCAATACTAGTTGATCCCAACCTATATGTCCTGTCTAAAGTCCATCTTATAACTCTCTGTCCATGGAATCAAGAATACTCTGTAAAGAATTTGATGGACTGTCAGATTTAATATATCTAACTTTTAAACCATGAATTAAAAGTTGTGAGGTAAAAACTCTTACTAATGACTTTTACCTTCTATTTGGAACAGGATGCTATACGATTATGTTGAAAGGAAGAGAAAGGAGAATTCAGGAGCCCAACTGCATGTAACCTATTTAGTGTCTGGCAGTCTCATTCAGAATGGACATTCCGTAAGTTGTCAGAATCTTATGATGAACTGAAATATGTTTGAGCTATTAAACTGTGTTATAAAACATAGGGGAAAAAAACAGGATTTAGTATTGTGGAAGTTTTAAGACAGCTTCAAGATGATTGTTTTGAATTTTGAGACCAAACCTAAAACTCAGAAGTTTGGGTAGTATCTTGGCTGTGATGCAGAGACAATATCATAATTATGTAGTTTTCTTAGGCAACAAGACTTTAGGAGACTGCTCTGTTATTCCTTTTTCCTCTTGAAAGTATATTAGGAACAGTGATGGTTAATTTCTAGACTGTTCAGACATTAGGCCAAAAATTCAGGTGTTGAAGAAGTCCAGTTTTATTTTTAAACTGAACTTGATTTCAGTTTGAGCTTTCATTTCATTTCAGGCTTATGTCTGAGTGGCTGAAGGATGGGGGTGTTGGCAAGGGGCTGAGCTAGTGCAAAGGCCAGGAACATTTTTATTCTCCTGTGTCTTTTTATTGTCTCATCTGGTATTGGGTCATCCATTAACACAAGTCACCGTTTTCATCATCCTGACCACAAAGCTTTCTTGGGCTTACTGACTTTCTCTTAGCTACTTCCTTGTCCCTTTTAGGGGCACAGGGATCATCTTATACTCCTGTGTCTGGTTAGGTATCAGAAGCTCTGCTGATATAACTTGTTCCTTTCCCTGCACCAGACTGATCTTTGGGAACTTTGATAATTTCTCCTCTCTGGCTTCCTGCCAAAAGTAAGGCACACTTCACACTTCTTCTACTCTCACTACCCCAAACCTCTTCTTTGAAGGCCCTTTTGCTCCCACCATCACCACCATCAGCGCCATAGAATTTAGCCCAAGGATTAGGTTTCCTTCTCAGTGATCCACTAATACATGTTTTTTGTCTTCCCTTTTGACTTTCTCTTAGAGTCCTAAGATCAGAAAATCCTGATTTTCGAAATGCTAACTGGATTTATCTTGTAGCAAGAGTCCCAAGTATTTGAGATTTAAAACTAGAATGGCAATTTAGTAATTAATCTATAAGGAGAAACAACTGTTATGGGGAATAGATCCTTATATTCTATGACCAGCATATTCTTTCCTTATTGGTAAGCTATTTGGCAAGCCAGATGATAATCAAGATATTTGTAGACAAATATCAAGATAAGTGTAGACAGAATCAGATGTCGTCATATATTAGAAACACAAAATTAAGTAGATCTGATTCATCTGATTCATCTGGCTATTTGGCAAGCCAGATGATAATCAAGATATTTGTAGACAAAAATCAAGATAAGTGTAGACAGAATCAGATGTCATCATATATTAGAAACACAAAATTAAGTAGATCTGATTCATTCATTCTCAGAAGTAAACCTGCCACTAGCATCCTTTCCATGCATGGCCTAGATTTACATCTGAATGTCTTCTTTCCTTTTGTTTCCAGGATTAACTAACCCCTCTGTTTCTTTAATTAGTCAATGCCTTCAATCCAGCCATGTCAGTTCTTTTTTTTTTTTTTTAAGATTTTATTTATTTATTTATTTATTTATTCATTCATTCATTCATTCATTCATTCATTCATAAGAGACAGGAGAGAGAGAGAGAGACCCAGGCAGAGGGAGAAGCAGGCTCCATGCAGGAAGCCTGACGTGGGACTCAATCCCAGGTCTCCAAGAACATGCCCTGGGCTGAAGGTGGGACTAAAGCGCTGAGCCACCCAGGCTGCCCCCATGTCAGTTCTTTACCTAGGAATCATTGTGTATTCCTTTAAAGCAGTGGTTTTTATTTTTTTTAAAGATTTTATTTATTCATGAGAGACAGAGAGAGGCAGAGACCTAGGCAGAAGGAGAAGCAGGCTCCACACAGGGAGCCTGATGTGGGACTTGATCCTGGGACTCCAGGATGACACCCTGGGCTGAAAGGAGACACTTAACTGCTGAGCCACCCAGGCGTCCCTGATTTTTATTCTTTATTTGATCGTTGATTCCTTTGAGAATCTGAAAGTACATATGTTAACATATAAAATTTTGAGTGTTCACAGATCTTCTAGAACAGAGTTCAAGGTTAAGAATTTATGTTTTAAGGTAAAGTTATATATTTTCATTCTGACACACATGACAGAGGTTCTTAATTTCAAATCCTTGGATGATCTTCAGGGTGAAGATCCCTGAAAGTGCATTTAAAAAAAAAGCATTTAAATTGTATTCCTCAGTTTTCAAAAATTTCAAAATTCCTCTCATTTTTTGAGACCATCTTTCAAATTCATGTATGGCTCAATCAGTTAAAAAAATTTCTATACTATGGCTTATAGAAGGCATTCTACCAATTTAACAACATTCAAATTCTGCTTTGGTTTTTCAAATGAAATCTTAGAATCCTAATATATTAAATATATTAAGAGGAGAGTTGCTTTGGTTGAAGTGGGTGTGAGAATTTTGGAGCCTTGTACTCACCCTCCAAACAGCCCCACAGGGCCCCTTTGTGGAACCCTGTAGAATTAATAGATCAAATGTGGATGCTTACCCTTAAAGAGAGCTCTCCTAAGGAAAGGCAGATGATTATGCATAATATCAGGTTTAGTTCTTTTCCTTCTAATTTCTTTTTTAAGTGTTATGTGTTTTTAGGAAGAAAAAGGTCTTTAAAAAAAGAAAAAGGATGGATTTTAAAAATATAAGTGGGGGATCCCTGGGTGGCGCAGCGGTTTGGCGCCTGCCTTTGGCCCAGGGCGTGATCCTGGAGACCCAGGATCGAATCCCACGTCGGGCTCCCGGTGCATGGAGCCTGCTTCTCCCTCTGCCTGTGTCTCTGCCTCTCTCTCTCTCTGTGACTATCATAAATAAATAAAAATTAATTTAAAAAAAAATAAAATAAAAATATAAGTGATTTTTATTTTCCAGTGGTCATTATTGTACAAAATGTTTTGGGTTTTTTTTTTTTTTTTTTTACATGTAGGAAGTGAAAGCCTCTTTTTAATCTCAACCCAGAGAATCTTCCAGAGAATTATCTGAAAATTTCAAGGGAATGTTTTGTTAACTTTCTTTTTGTGGTATTTAAGGTTGACAGCCTAATCCATGCTTTGTGAAAGTTCCCCATTAGCTGTTCATCTAAAGATCTTAGCCAGGATTGATTTTTATCATTACCTAGATTATTAATTCACTAGGAGTAACAAAATGGTAATGTTCTGTCATTCTTTATGAATTTATTGGCTGGAATTTTTCTATAAAGAACAGCTTTCTTTCATTAAGTAGCCATATTTACCTTTCTTCCTTTAATTGCTGAAAAATGCAGAGGGCTTACCCCAACCAGGATCTGGGTTTGTGGATGCTGAACTTACTCCTGTGTCCATCTTAGAAGGAACTCCCTGAAGCAGAGCTCTACCCTAGTCTATGTTATTGAACATCAGCAAGTTGGCATTTTGACTGTCATTTTTAGGCATTTTCAGTATTCCCTGGGGCAGCATTTAGCCACACTGAACTGTCTGGGATGTCCAGATTTTCTCCTGAAGCTACCAATTTTTGTTTTTAGGGCCTTACTTTACAAAGCTGCATAAATTTGAGTGGTTAATTCCTACTGTTCCTTTTCTCATTAGCTCTGTAATTTTTATTGTATAGTTTACAGAATATGACATTTTTTGGAATGGCTTTTGTTTTTTTAAAGAGAAAATACATTATGAAAACATACAGATATTCTCAGTTTAAATTTATAGCTATCCTTTTTTTTTAACTTTCTTGATTTTATACCGTTTTTTTCTCTTATGTTGTGAATTTTAGTAGTTCCTAATGTTTTTCATAAATACATATTTGCTAAGCCAAACAAGAGATTTAGAAAAGCAAACCTACTATATTTACTGATAATACGACTACTGAAGACAGTTTAAGATTTCTTTCCAATTCCTTTTGTTTGTAGAATATATCCTTCTAGGAATGCACAGCCTGTGTTCTAGTCACTTGCAATAACTCTTCTCTATGGTTAAGCCACCAACTCAGTATCTAGTTAAATTTAGATCTTTTCCCACTTTCAATTTTTAGATTTCTTGCTTTTCCTTACAGGTAATAGTTTTAATAGATTTTGCTTCCCCTTCCATTATTATTATATTTGTTTTTAATATATTCAAATATATAGTCATATTACCCCCTTTTCTTAGATAAAACTTTCATTCTATATACCTTACTTTACACTTTGCTCTTTTACTTAACTGTGGATCCTGAACATCACTCCATAGCAGTTACAGAAATATTCCTCATTCCTTATTATGACCACCTGGACTTACATTGATCTATGTTAGTTTTTTCAGCAGTCCCTTATTGATTAGTTTGTTGAGTCACTTAAAATATTTGGCTATTACAAATAGTGCTATAATAAATATGTGTTTTATATATTTTTGCCACTTTTAGGGTTAAATTTCCTAGGATTCCTAGGATGTATATGTATTTCATTGGGTAATTGCCAAATACCTCTCCATTTTTCATTCCCACTAGTAATATTTAGAGCCCCCTTCTCCACACAATGCATGTTGTCATCTGTTTCAGGGTGAACTATCTGTTCATACTTTTTGCCTATTTTTCTAAAGGAATATTTTTTCTATTTTAGAAACTCTAAACTCTTTGTGATATGAGTTACAGATATTTTCCCACTTTATCATTTTTCTTTGTATTTTGTGCTTAAAGTTTATTTTTGTCATTCAAAAGTTGTGTATTAGTTTTTATGGATTATTTAAATCATTTCTTATTGTTTATTATTAGGAAACTTTCCTCATTCTCCGGTTATATCAGTTTACATTTATCTGTTTATTTTTTTTTTTATTTTTTTATTTTTTTAATTTTTATTTATTTATGATAGTCACACAGAGAGAGAGAGAGAGAGAGGCAGAGACACAGGCAGAGGGAGAAGCAGGCTCCATGCACCAGGAGCCCGATGTGGGATTCGATCCCGGGTCTCCAGGATCGCGCCCTGGGCCAAAGGCAGGCGCCAAACCGCTGCGCCACCCAGGGATCCCCATTTATCTGTTTATAGAAGAATCATCCATATTGTCTTATGGTATATGTATGGTTTCATTCTTTACATTTAAGTCTTTGCTTGTTTAGAATGTATTCCAAATCTATGAGAAACAGATCCAGTTTTGGTTCTGTATGATTATATATTTATTCTCATTACATCACTTACTAAGAAGTTTTCTTTTACTCACCCTATTTGAGATGGTGTTCGTTTTTTTGTGTTTTCACAGTTCTAAAATTTAGTTTCTTTTTTTTTTTTAATTTTTATTTATTTATGATAGTCACACAGAGAGAGAGAGAGGCAGAGACATAGGCAGAGGGAGAAGCAGGCTCCATGCACTGGGAGCCCGACGTGGGATTCGATCCCGGGTCTCCAGGATCGCGCCCTGGGCCAAAGGCAGGCGCTAAACCGCTGCGCCACCCAGGGATCCCCTAAAATTTAGTTTCATTATAATATATTAATACTAATGTATGCCACTTAAGCTAGTGATAATTCATAAGTTTAGAAGTTCACAACATATTTTAAAAGCACATAGTAAATGTTTATAGAAAATTTTGTAGAGGCACCTGGATGGCTCAGTTGGTTTAAACATCTGCCTTCAGCTCAGGTTGTAAAGAATGTTTATTATAATCCTTTTTTTTTTTTTTAAGATTTTATTTATTTATTTGACAGAGAGAGCACAAGCAGGGGGAGTGGCAGGCAGAGGGACAGGGAGAAGCAGGCTCCCCAAGGAGCAGGGAGTTTAATGCGCACCTTGATCCCAGACCCCGGGATCATGACCTGAACCAAAGACAGATGCTTAACCAATTGAGCCACCCAGGCACCCCTACTGTAATCCTTTTAAAAGCCTTGGTCCATTTTGAAAGATCAACATTGAATTTTTAAAATAAAAAAAAAAAGGAAAATAATTTTTCCCCCCACAAAATACATAAGAACCACTTATTGGCATTTGCATTTTAAGTGCCCAGAATAAAATGGACTAAATTTTCAAAGGCAGTTCATAACAGCTTGTACAAGGACTGGTTTCATTTGACTTAGCACCAAGTAAAGTAAGAGTAAATATGCCACTGAAGAGTCAAGTTTCTCCTTCAGCTCTCATATTGCTCTATTCTTCTTACCAGGCCATAGGATGTCAGCAAGCATCCTTGTTGTTCCATTAAGGAATCAAAGCATTTTCATTTTAATATGGCTACTTAGATTATACTCGCCAGTAGTTTTTTCCTTCCAGATAACACTGGATGTAACTATGCAGTTAATGTTCCAGGTGTTAACTTCTTGGATTAGGAATAAAGAACTCATTTAGCAAACTCAGTTATTTTCCTGGTCTTTTTTAACCTGTCATGTAAATCCTTTTAAGTGCTATACCTATTTACTAATTATGATTATTATATATATCAAGAGAATTTTCCCCAAGCATACTATTTCTATTTCCTGATGATAAAGTATGCTTGTTTTACTAGTGCCATGGGTTTTCTTTTTTTTTTTTTTGTACTTTGTTACTCATCAAAGTAGATCTTATATTTGATTAAATAGTGAAACTAGCAAGTAGATCCTAAAGCACACATTTCTATACTGAATAACATCTAAAAACATAAGACTACATTTTCTTTTTTTTTTTTTTTTAATTTTAATTTATTTATGTATGATAGTCACAGAGAGAGAAAGAGGCAGAGACATAGGCAGAGGGAGAAGCAGGCTCCATGCACTGGGAGCCCGATGTGGGATTCGATCCCGGGTCTCCAGGATCGCGTCCTGGGCCAAAGGCAGGCGCTAAACCGCTGCGCCACCCAGGGATCCCAAGACTACATTTTCTGTTGAAAATTCAACTTTGGTGTTTTTGCAAGAACTTATGTTAATTTCTAACATAAATCATATCCCTTGGTGCACATGTATTTTCAAAAGAAAAGTCTTAGGAAAATAAATTTTCCTATGTGCTATAATTAATACATTTTTATAGTAAACTGAAAATTCTGAATAAACTGAAGGTTTAACAAAATAAATTCAGCATATATGGCTAGATTATAAGTGTCTTAGTATGGGGGGCTGGGGGGCTCAATCAGTTAGGTGTCTGACTCTTGGTTTTGGCTGAGGTAAAGGTCTCATGGTTTGTGAGGTCGAGCCCTATTTTGGGCTCTGTGCTCAATGAGGAGTCTGCTTGGGGTTTTTCTCCCTTTGCCCCACTCTTCTGCTCACTTGCTTGCGCTCTTTCTCTCTCTCTCTCAAATCTTTAAAAAAAAAGTAATAGTGTAAAGGCAGCAGTGAATTTGCATCCTGCAACTACTCTGTAAATCCAGTTGTTTTTTTTTCTGGAATTTTATAGACCTAGTATCTCACAGAGCCATACACCACCATGCTAAAGATGTCCTTTTGGCATCAATCTATGCAAAAGCCTCTGATGAGATACTTTCCCCAAATGACATGGAATTTTTTTGTTTCTTTTCCAGAAAATAAGGAAACATTATCAATCACTTAATCTTCTGAACAAATGTTAGGTTACTATCAATTGCTCTTTTAATTATGCCCTAAAGATTTTTAATTTAGACATTTCTGATGTCTTTCAGTTGCACACTGATAGAAGATAACTGAATAAAACACACTAGATGATTTCAAAAGATGAATCTTCATATCTGACTCATTTGGCACATCCTTAATTTCCAGATAAAATCAGTAGAAATGAAATTAATATAATTTTCAAAGAATTCATACATGCCAATCTTAGGACAAGGAGCTTCTCAATGCATGGATGAGGAGCTTCTCAGCTTTCTAGGTAAATGTGGTTATTTCTTCATGGAGTAACTACTTTCTGGTTTATTTGTTGAACTTTGTTATAGGGGCAGATCTTGTTAGTTTCTGTTCTGGAGAATGTTTCCAACACCCCTTTTGTCTGGTAGGTGATATTCCAGGACCAGCTCTGTTTGGGCTTTGTAAGCCTTCAATCTCTTGAGAACCATCTTTAATCTGTTACACTGGATGAGAGGCTCTCCAGTCAGATCACCCTTTTGGGAGGGTCGAATTTGTTGTGGACTTGGTGGCTAGGTGGATGAATTTAGCAAGCAGTGAGATATTGCTTAATGACCTTACAGGGCATGTTTAGATTAATCACTCTGATAAACTGTCCAGGGCTTCTACCTGTGGAAGTACCTTGGAAAACTGTCCAATAGCCAGCTACATTGGATGAGTTTTTCAGCTCATGAAGGACCAAGCTGAGTCATGACCTTGTTTGAAATGAGCTTCTCTTGTTCAGTTGAAATCTTGGCTAACACACCAATTTCTATGCCCCAAATCTATTTCAGAGGGGCCCCTGCTGGAGAGGTGTTTCAGCTTGAAGTATTGGTGATGTTCGATGGTACACCTTGCCCAACATTCAGTGCCATCATGATCACTGTGCTCAGTAGGCCTGGGCCCCACAGATACTGGGGCTTTGGCCTCCCTGCACACTCACCCTCTTCTGTGGGCTGGCAGCACTGTGAGCTGGGGGCTGCTGTTTGGTTTTGGATTGTATTGATATGTATGTTCTGTCACTTTTCTTACCCAGATGGAGAAATTTTAAAGTAAGTTAAAAATAAGTCTGACTTTATTAAACTGTACACAGATTTTTAAAGAGGATTTTATGTATGTATATATGTATGTATGTATGTGTGTATGTATGTATTTAATTTAGCAGGGGTGGCCAAAGGGGGAAGGAGAGGGGTAAACAGATTTCCTTCCCTGGCTGGATCCTAGGACTCTGAGATCATGACCTGAGTGGAAACCAAGAGTGGGACATTCAACTGACTGAACCACGTAGGCACCCTGTACACAGATTTTTTAGGGGTACTTGATATTCCTAATTTCACATCCACGTGCAACTGAATTTATTAGCAAAGAAGCTTTAGAATTGCAAGTTGTCCTACTACTTTAAACACTAATGAAGTGTTATTTCCTTACAGTGCCACAAGGTTGCGGTAGTGAGAGAAGATAAATTGGAAGGTAAGTTTCAGCGACTTAGCAAGATTTTCCTCTTATGGTATCAATGTAGGTACAGTAAAAAATCGCCCCCTAGCATCTGCATATAATGTATTTAGCTACTTAACTGAAGAGCTGAATATTCCTTTTATTAGTAGTTTCTGAAACATGTTAAAATAGGATACCACATCTGCCTAACTTCCCATTTTAAGACCAATAGCTGCCAACATTTACAAAGTACTTTTATTACAAGATTTCAAAACTCATGTCTTTCATTGCAAAAAACTATCATGAATGCCATATGGAACACCTCATCACCTGAAAAAAAACAGTAGTCTCTAAACATTGTATTGTGTTCCATAACGGTTTTTTAGGAAGAAAATTAAAGAATGCTTTTCTGAAGTCAGAAAGTCTTAAAATAACTTCTAAATTAAATGTATCCTCTCATTTCAAAACTATTAATGCTATGGTTCTATTATTTAAAAATCCAGTTCAAAGGATTTTTATAACAGGGTCTACATTGTCTGGACATACATCTCAAGATAAAACCTGCCCTATTGTATTTTGTATACAAAGACTCATACCAGTGGTGTGGTTTTCTTACAAATTAACTCTGAACTACTTAATGGTGGTGATGTCCACTTTTGTCTTTCTGAATTCCCCCACAGTGGTGGCCAAAGCGAGATTTATTCATTCAGTAGATACATAATGAAGCACATTCCCTTTCTTCATGGAATCTAACATTTGTTCTTGTAATGTTCTTTTGTGTTTTTTCTCTGCAGACTTACCTGGCTAGTAGTATTTTGCTATAGAGTTGCTTTCTCTACAGAAAAATTGAGTTATATAATTGAGTCTTCTCAAATAGAAATTACTTATTTAATTATATGCTAGAGTGTAGGATTCTTCCCTGAAAAAAAAAAAGAACACATCAAAATCATCATCAATCATTTATTAATATTTACTGAATGTCCACTGGATGAATGATACCCTCACAGGTGTTGTACTTAGAATTGACTCACCACCACCTACCTTGTCATGATGTCTCAGTTGTAGACAGAAGAGTTGATGTTATGCTGTGTATGTGACTCTTTGGCCTTTTAGTGCTTTTTAGACCACCACAGATTGCAAATGGTTTTAATGCAGAAGGGTTTCTTGTTAAAGTCCCCACATGCTATGAAGTTTGTGTATTAACAGACTGCTTTTCCTGTTGATTTGTAGCAGTGAAGTCCAAGCTAGCTGTGACTGCCAGCATCCATGTGTACAGCATCCAGAAAGCCATGCTAAAGGACAGTGGGCCTCTGTTCAATACCGACTATGACATCCTTAAAAGCAACTTGCAGAACTGCAGCAAGTGAGCTCCTTAATGTTCCTTGTGGGCTTCTTTACGAATTGATTTTGTAAGATGTTTACACAGTGGCTGCCTCTTAAGAGTGAATGCCAAGTCTAGTAAAACCCCATTTATCTTGCAGTAAGACACATGCCTGGTTTTATTAGTACATCATAAGGTGAAAAATAGCAGCCACAACCCATACTGAAAACCCCAATGGACTCCCCATAAATCTATTTCTCATGTATTTATCCTGTCACCGCCACCAGAAATGTTTGTTATGTCCCCTCATTACTCCCTTACCCTAGTCTCTACTTGTCTAAATCCTACCCATTTTTCAAGAACCAGTTCAGATGTCTTTCAAAAACTATTTCTACTTTGTTATCCCTCTACCTTCCATCAAAAAACATTTGATCTTCCACAGCCAGGATCAGATCTTGTTCATCTTTTGTATTCTTTGTATCATCTTCCATGAGGAGATGGACTATATAATACACAGGCTTGTGTTGTGGCTTTGCTGCTTAGTAGTCTGGTGGCTTTGGACAAATTACTTAAACTCTTTGGCTTTGGCTTTTCATTTTTAAGCTTGAGCTTTGGCTTTTTCATTTTTAAATTAGATATAATAATGCCTATTTTGTGGGGTTGTAGAAGGGTTCAAGTCAGTTCCCCAGATGTATTAAGCACCTATTACTTTGACAGGTACTAAGTGAGATAATTTGAATTCATTCCACAAAGATCTGATGAGTACCTATGACATGCCACACACTATAGAGTGAATATGGCCCAATACCTGCTTATGGAACTGATGGTCCTATGGGAGACAATTACAGTATCATGTGACAGAGCTACAGTAGGAGTAATACCATGGGAGGATGTTTGGGGAGTATTCATCCTCCACTTTTGAGTGAGGAGGCAAAACGAAGGCTTCCTTGAGGGTGTGGAAACTAAGTGAAGCCTGAAGGCCTGAGTAGAAGTAGCTAGTTAAAGGAGAAGTAGGAATGTAAGGACAGAGCTACGAGAAAACCTGATGCTTGTGTGGGACCACAGTCCTTTTCTATGGCAGAAACTTAGAGTGAGAGGAAATAATGAGGTATAAGAATGGAAATAAGTGTCAGATTATATGCTTTGACTACTAGGATAAGGAGTTTAGACTTTATCTGAGGGCACCACTGAAGATTTTGAAGCCAAGGGATAAAATGATCAGAATTGTATTATAGAAAGATCACTTGGAAAAAAAAAAAAAGATCACTTGGGGGTGCCTGGGTAGCTCAGTCAGTTAAACATCTTGCTCTTGATTTTGGCTCAGGTCATGATCTCAGGGTTGTGAGATTGAGCCCTGTATTGGGCTCCATGTTCAGCAGGGAGTCTGCTTGAGATTCTTGCTCCCTCTTCCTTTGCCCCTCTCCTGCTCACACACTTGGACGTGCACGTTCTCTCTCTCTAGATAAATAAATAGAATCTTAAAAAATCACTTGGCTGCATTGGTGAACATAGATCAGAAGGGAATAATCAAGAGACAAAGCCATCATTGAAAAATATTGCAGTGATTCAGAGTGGAGATGACAGTTACCTGAAGTGTAGTAGTGATGTTGAGGGTGAAGAGGTATAAAGGTTAAAGAATCATGCTGTCAAAACCTGGATATTGTAATGCTTGGGGACCAGGGGTGGGGGGTGGAAGTAGGAGAGGGGTGTTCATGCTGTTAAGGGTGATGGCCACGTGTCTGACTTGGGTGTCTGCTTAGGTGATGGTGTCATCACCAAGAAAGGGAATATGTGGGGAGGAGTAGGCTTGGGGAGAGAAGGAAAATGATGAATTGGGTTTGAACATGTTGAATCTGGGAAACTTGTGGGGAGTTCAAGTGGAGATGTCCATGCAATAGTCCAGAGTTCAGGAGAGAAATTTGATGTGAAGATAGAAATTTTGAAATCAGAGAAAATAATTAATTGGGCCACAGCAGTAGATGTAGTCATGCAGAGAGAATGAATAGAATGAAAGAGGGCAGAAAGTAAAACTCTAGGCCACAATTACTAGCTATATAACCTTGAGCAAATTATTTAACCTCTTGGTGCCTCAGCTTCCTCATCAGTAAAATGAAGCTAGCAATAGTTCCAACATCAAAGGGTTGTCAAGGAGTAAATGAATATATATAAAATACTTACAATGGTGCTTGGAACATAGTAAGCACTATTTAAGTGATAACCGTTTTTCAAAAAATGGGCAAGAGAAGGGGAGCCTAAATGGGAGCAACCAGAGATGAAAGGAAAATCCCAAGAGATATGGGATTCTAAAAGCAAAGGAAAGCGTTTCAAGGAGGAACTGATTGACAATATTATACCTTGCTGAGAAGCTAAGTAAAATAGGAACTGAAGGGCAGCCTGGGTGGCGTAGCGGTTTAGTGCTGCCTTCAGCCCAGGGTGTGACCCTGGAGACCTGGGATCGAGTTCCACATTGGGCTCCCTGCAAGGAGCCTGCTCACTCCCTCTGCCTGTGTCTCTGCCTCTCTTTCTCTGTGTATACACTCTCATGAATAAATAAATAAAATCTAAAAAAAAAAAAAAAGGAACTGAGTCCATTGGATTTAGTGATGGCCTTGGTAAGAGAGTTTTCAGTGGAGTGACCAGATTCTGGTCAACTGAGTAAATGGGAGCATGAGAAAGTGGGACAGCAAATATAAACAACTCTTTCCAGGAAATTTGTGAAATGGAGAGAAAAGAGAGGTAACTAAAAAGGAATTGAGACTAAGGGAGGATATATACATTTTTAAAGTTGAGAAGGCTGACATGTATTATTAGGAAAGAGCCATAAAAGAAGAAATTGGTTGAAGCTACTGGGGAAGATGGGATAACTGATAGAACCAAGTTCTTGAGGAGAAATAGATAGAGACTTCCCGAACATAGTTTCTGAACTTCCATAAGAATAGGGGTTGTGTCTGTTTTGTACCCAAAATGTTCCTAGCAAATGGTTAAGCATTTGATAAGTAACTGTTGAGTGAATTAATGATAGACATTAGTTCTTTTTTCTACAGCTCAAAACCTTAAGTATAATAGGCATACAGATGTTTATTAAATAAGTAAATATAATTACATAGCTAAAGAATAATAATTTATAAGTGGTGTTTTTTAGGGAAGGATCCCAGGAAAAGATGAATACCCTGATATGTTTATGTAAATTATAAGATTCCAAATAACTTGTATTAAAATGTTGTCATGGCATATGAAGCTCTAAAAATCAGTTATTCTGTTGTACCTAATAAGTAAGCAAACAGGAATAAAGGTGACTCAAAAGTTGAAAATGAAATTTGCTCAGGGACCACTCAAGTAAACTTGGCAAGTAGAAATGTAGTCATAGGAAGCACTTTAATGAAATGTTACTTAAATACTTAAAGTATCATGGGTAGGAATGTGAAGAATTTATCTCCAATAAAGAAGTTTGTATTTGGTCCTGAGAATTATGGGCCAACTGAGATCTGACTCATTGTTTTGTGTGTTCTAAGAAGTGCTATGACAGGAAGAAAGTTGAAATTTTAGAACTGAGCAGATTCTTCTGCCTTCGGACATGTTCCCAGCCTAACTTGGTCTCTTCCTTATTGCTAGTTTCTGGTCCTGACCCTAAGGTGTGGATTGTAGACCAAATGGAGAAAGAGTCTGTCTCAGGGCCAACTTTAGATGTTGACAATGAAATGAAACATTGCACTTTTCCTCATACGTGGAAGCACTGCAAGGCTAGAGAGGAAGACTAGTGGGTGAAAGGAAATGATTTCCGTCTGTTCTTAACTCTGGTGCACAAAATATTTGTGTTAGTATGGGGTTTTCTGAAATGGACCATAGTAAATCAGTGGAAGATTCTTGGAGCTATTCACTCTAGCTTTGGGGCTGCTCAGTCTAAAGTTTTCTAAAATTAAATGATTTATCAGAGACTTTTTCTTAGGCTGGTTATTCTAGCAGTTAATCTTGAAGTTGTACTTGGTTGATCTCCTAGAAAATTACTATTACCATATAGTTTCTTTCTTAACCTCCATCTTCTCCCACTCCAAGTTGAGGTGATACATTGGAGAGAGAAACCAGAAGCCTCACTTCCAGAGACATCAGTTATCATTCTTTCACTAGTACTTCTGTGTGCCAGGTCTTGTACTGCATACTTAAAATACAAAAGATGAATAACGAATACCCTTCCTACATCCAAGGAGCTCTCACCTACCTCCAGTAAGCTAAAGACTGGGGGAAATGAAATGTCCTTTGTTAGAAAAGTTGGAGAACTTTGCTTTAAGTACAGCTATGATTTGTGTGAAACAGGCACATCTACAATGATTATAGAAGAGATGAATGTTCCCTTTAATATGCCACGTATACCGTTCCAGATTTCTTCACTTGGCTTTGGGCATACTTGTCTGCCTCTGTTGGTATTATTAGAAATTATTAGCAAACAACAGTGAAAGGACCACCAGTCATAGGAGCCAGAGGCTCTGTTCCCAGCTTCTTCCTTGTTTTAAAGTGTGATCCATTCTGGCCAGGATAGTTGCCAGGAAATTTGTTAATATTTAAAGTTAATAATTTTGGTTCAGTCAATATTTATTGTATATGTAGTCCTGTAAGTTGAAGGTCTTTAAAAACAAGAGATAACCATTTGATTTCCCAAGGATAGTGAAATTACTAATCTTTTGTTATTTTTAGTGCCCTTATTGTTTTGAATTAATATACTTTCTTGAGAAAAGTAAGGATACTCAAAATGGTACAGTAGAACAGTTCCAGTTCTGTTATTAACTAGACGTATAATCTAGGGCAAGTCCTTCAGTGTCTCTCCAATACTTGTTTTGTATCTAAATGAGAGTTTTGTGCAAAGTAATTTCTAAAATCCATTTTAGTTATAAAATTTTCTAATTTAATAGTATTAGAGTTAGAAACTATTATGTGGAAGAAGCAAGACTTTGAAACTAATGTAACATCTGTGACCTCAGGTTTAGTGCCATACAGTGTGCAGCTGCAGTGCCCAGAGCTCCTGCTGAATCCTCATCTTCTGAAAAGTTTGAGCAGTCAAATCTTCAAGTATCAAGTGAGACACCAGCCAATCATGAGTTGACAACCAATGGTCACAGTCCACCTACCTCCAAACAGATTTTACAGCAGCCCAAAGGAATAATGGGAATGTTTGCCTCTAAAGCTGTTTCTAAGACCCAAGATGTCAACAAAGAAACCAAAACAGAGACTAAAGAGGTAACAAATGTAAGTCTTCTTTAAAGGTATGTCTTTGTAGCTCAAAATGGTTAACTAGAAAAGCATTATAGTTCTAGTGGTAGTAATTTAATCACATAAGGTTCTGATATATAATAATATGTTCTAGTTTTTCTACTTTAGTCTGAATCCTTTAATTCTTGATATTCTCATCTGAAATAGTCCTTTTTCTTTCAATAAAGCTTCTCCCCAAATCCCTCCATTTCTCCTGTAAAATGGCCCTGTGCACATTGCAAAATTGTTGTGTACAAGCCAATTGAAATAAAGCATACAAAAATACTTGAAAATTACAAAGTTCAAGGAATTGTGTATTAGCAATACATCATTTTGGGAACATCTTATATTCTGAACTATGCCATGTATGCTTTTCTTCTTAGTATATTTAACATTCCCATTCTGTTTTATGAATTTTTGCTTTTTTCTTTATCTGTTTCCCTTAGTTTTTTATTATTCACTCATAATAAGTAACTTGAAGTACACCGAGTTAAGAAGTCTCATTAAAAAACTATTTAAAAATACTCCCAAAAAGCATAACTATTGTTATTACTGTTAATCCCTTCATTGTGATTTTACAACTTCCACTTTGGGAAAGGAGAGGGGAGTGGAGAGAAAACACTGTGTGCCAGTAGTTTGATCTTTGCCTAAATCCTCCTAACAGTTCAGTGAGGAGGAGAGATCTCCATTTTGTATGTGGTGAAACTAAGTGCTAGACTTTTTGAGTGATTTGCCTGGATATCAGATTGCTATTAAGTGGCACAACCAGCATTCAGATCCACTTGTAATTATTACAGATGTAACATTTTAGAGGTTCTCCCCTCCACCCCCCACCCCTTGTGTACCATATTGCCTTTGATCTGTTTTAATTCCATAAAACTAAGTAGTTTTTAAATATACTCAAAAGTTTAGACACATTCATGGATAGTAAGTCTGTAAGAACTATGAGTAACTAAACTTTGGAGATTAACATCGGAGGCTCTGGCCTGGATTTGTTCTTAAATCTAATGCCGACACATTTTGGCATGATTATGTTGTGATTGTGCCATCATGACACTGTGCCCTGGTATTGAAGAGATTGTTTACGATTACTACTTGAAGAACAGCCTAGACACTAGAAAAAAAATCATGTGTTTTCTGCTTTTAGGTATCTTCTGTAGGCAACAAGGCACCAGGAAAAGGGAATGTGATGAGCAATTTTTTTGGAAAAGCTGCTATGAGTAAGCATATTTTTACCTTCCTTTGATTAATCCATAAATGTTAGTATAACATATTTGAGGTAAAAGGCACCTTTTCCAGTTTTTGCCCATCTAGTATATCATTGTAGCCATCCTGCATCCTAACATAAATTTTCAGTCTCCTCACCAGTATATTGAATGGAAATAATCCAACTGGAACAGTGGATTTGATTTTATGGGTGAGCTGAGTTCAGTTTAGATCTCTTGGAGGGTAGTTTACTACTCCTGTTTTGACTTTCTGCCTTGAAAAGAGAATTTGTTTCATAGAGCTTTTGAAAATGGGTGACAAAATAGAAGGGAGGCTGCTTGGTTAAACAGTACAGTGTTGAGGTTAATATCCTAGGTGGTAGGGTCAGCTTGCCTCGTGTGACCATCATTAATTATTACCCCTGTCTCCCAGGGGGATGCAAAAACAAATCTCTTGACTTTCTATAGTTATTTTTTTGCAAATTACTCCTGGTAATGAACTAGACTTCAGTATGAATTAGAAGGGCCCAGATGGTACTGGCCTTTTGAAAATAATACTTTTTGAGAAAACAAAATTGCTTTTATTTAAATTTTTTTTGAAAATAAGAATTCATATGGAAAGAACCAGTAGTCACATATTTTCATACTTCTCATACCAAGTACACATCCCTCGAGGGTATGTGGCATAATACCAGAAAGAATTCAGGAGCCGCAGGATAATTATGGCACACTCTCTTGGACCATCAGTTTTACAAAGATCTTGTGGTAAGGCATTTTGTTACATGCCTATGCAAGCAAAATTAGTCAGAATTCTCCTTTCCCATGATGGTCAAATTAGTGGTTGGAGGAGGCTTTTGGGGAGATGGTGTGTGTTTGCCGTAAAAACTATCAGAGAAGGTTTTTGTGTTCTGAAAGTATATGGAAAATTTGATACTTTCAGGTTATTGGTAAGCATGTTGTATTGCAGGCAGAGTGCACAAGGAGGGCTCCCTACTTCTGTGAAAATCGTTGGTGCTAAGGTCACTGGCTTGCATGGCTGATACTGGTCCACTGAACTGAATCAGATTATGTGGTTTCTTGGTGACTTTTAGGTCCACTTTTGTTTTGTTTTGTTTCTTGTGCCTTTGTAACCAGTGAATTTAAAAAAATTTATTTCTAAAATATATAAGCCATGAATTTTTCCTAGTCACAGAAAAGTCAAGCCATACAGAAGTATACACTTATTTATTCATGTGTTTATTTAAGACATATTTACTGAGCAACTACTATGTACTTGGTGCTAATATGCATGGTGATACAATGGAAAAATCTCTCCAAAGGGTGAGATCTCTGCCCTTGTGGTCCTTATATACTAGTAGAGACCAACAAATAAATAAAGAATAAAATATTTAATGATCGTAATTGCTAGGCAGACAATAACAGTAATAGAGTAGGGAAACTGGATAAAATAAAAGAAATACTTACCTAATAAAAAGAATGGCTTTAAAAATAAATTTAAAAAAGGGATCCCTGGATGGTTCAGCAGTTTAGTGCCTGCCTTGGTCCCACATCAGGCTCCTTGCATGGAGCCTGCCTCTCCCTCTGCCTGTGTTCTGCCTTTCTCTCTGTTTCTCATGAATAAATAATATATTAAAAAAAAAAGAATGGCTTCTAAAGTTGATTTATTGAACAGATCTCTTTTAAGGATGAATGTTTAGACTAAAACAATGAATATTGGGCAGCCCGGGTGGCTCCGTGGTTTAGCACCGCCTTCAGTCCAGGGCCTGATCCTGGAGACCTGGGATTGAGTCCCACTTCAGGCTCCCTGTGTAGAGCCTGCTCCTCCCTCTGCCTGTGTCTCTGTCTCTCTCTCTCTCGTGAATAAATAAATAAAATCTTAAAAAAATAATAAAAATAAAACAATATATTTATTGTATTTGACACATGACAAGATCATTACAATGAAAATGAAGACAGTTGGATGAAAGTTGTGGGGACTTTGAAGCATTTAAAACTTAATGCTGGACAATAACAAGTGTTGGCAAGGATGTAGAGAAGTCAAACCCACATACATTGCTGTGGAGAATATAAAATAATATGCTTGCTCTAAAAACAGTATGGCAGTATTTCAAAAAGTTAAACAATTATCCAACACTTCCACTCCTACATATCTACTCAAGTGAATTAAAACTATATGTCCACACAGACACTTGTACAAAAGTGTTCATAGCAGCATTATTCATAATAGCCTAAAAGTGGAAACAACCCAAAGGTCCATCATCTGATGAATGAATAAACAAAATGTGATATAACCACACAATGGAGTATTACTATTATTTATTTTAAGATTGTATTTATTAGAGAGAGAGCACATGCATGTGTGTGTACAGAGAGGGAGAAGGACAAGCAGACTCCCCACCCAGTGGGGAGCCTGATGCAGGGCTTGATCTCAGGACCTCAAGATCACAACCTAAGCCAAAGTCGGATGCTCAACTGACTGAGCCACCCAGGTGCCCCACAATGAAATATTATTGAGCCGTAAAAAAAGGAATGAGGGCAGCCCCAGTGGCCCAGCGGTTTAGTGCCGCCTTCAGCCTGGGGTGTGATCCTGGAGACCCGGGATCGAGTCCCACGTCAGGCTCCCTGCACAGAGCCTGTTTTTCCCTCTGCCTGTTTTCTCTCTCTCTCTCTCTCTCTCTCTCTCTCTCTCTCTCTCTCTCTCTCTCTCACTCTGTCATGAATAACTAAAATCTTAAAAAAAAAAAAAAAGGAATGAACCCATACTATAATATGGATGAACTTTGAAACACGTGAAATGAAAGAAGCTAGACAGGAAAGGCCACATACTATATAATTCCATTTATTTTTTTAATTTTTTTTTATTTTTTTTTAAATTTATTTATTTATGATAGAGAGAGAGAGAGAGAGAGAGGCAGAGACACAGGCAGAGGGAGAAGCAGGCTCCATGCACCGGGAGCCCGACGTGGGATTCGATCCCGGATCTCCAGGATCGCGCCCTGGGCCAAAGGCAGGCCCTAAACCGCTGCGCCACCCAGGGATCCCCTATAATTCCATTTATACAAATTTCCAGAATAGGCAAATCTTTAGAGACCAAATGTAGATTATTAGTAGATTAGTATTGTGGACTGGGTTGGGATTGAAGAGTGACTGCTAATGGGTACAGGGTTCCTTTTTGGGGTGATGAAAATGTTCTAAAATTGGACGGCGGTGATGTTTGCACAATCAAAAACCACTGAATTTTACACTTTTTAAAAAAATTTTACACTTTAAAAGGGTAAATTTTTTGGTATGTGAATTATCTCATTAATAAGAACTTTAATGCTTAGTATGAGAAAAATTACAGCTTTGGTGACGAAATTAAGAGGTCATCTGTATCTTATCAAGGTGTTTCATATTTCCTTGAGTATAAGAAGGAGATGCTTTTATTTTTTATTTTTTTAAAAGATTTTATTTATTCATGAGAGACACAGAGAAAGAGGCGCAGAGACACAGGCAGAGAGAGAAGCAGGCTCCATGCAGGGAGCCTGATGTGGGACTCGATCCTAGGTCTCCAGGAACATGCCCTGGGCCAAAGGCAGTGCTAAACCGCTGAGCCACCCGGGCTGCCCTAGGAGATGCTTTTAATTAGTCAAATGCTACAAATGACTTGATCATTCAGATTAAAAGAAAGAAATGTGATTAAATTTTCCTTAACCATAGTCTGAGAATGTTTCAGTGAACTGCCTCTTTGCCAGCTAATTGGCCAATTGTAGTTGCATATGTGAATGAGTTGAGAGTTCTTCAAATACTGTGAAACCACAACAAAGAGTAAAAACTCTGGGTACTGAAACTGTTTGGTCACTGGTATTTTAATTAACATCAGTTTCTTGCAATTGGTAAACTCAATGCAATAGCCTCACTTTCCTTATCCCAAGAGGGAGGGAGGAAATAGTTAACAGTTTTTTGTAATTTTAAAACAACTGCTATCAATATGATATAAATTCTGTAACAGAATTCATTTTTTTTAAAAGATTTTATTTATTTATTCGTTAGAGACCCAGAGAAAGAGAGAGGCAGAGACACAGGCAGAGGGAGAATCAGGCTCCTTTCAGGGAGCCCGATGCAGGACTGGATCCCAGGACTCCAGGATCATGCCCTGGGCCAAAGGCAGGTGCTAAACTGCTGAGCCACCCAGGCTGTCCCATGTAACAGAATTCAAAATGTGCATAAACTTTAAGGATATACATGCAACTTTAGAGAACTGGGTTTTTTGTTGTTATTGTTTTGTTTTTTTTGTTTGTTTTGACTATCACTTTAGTCCCTGTTCCTAACAAATTACTTGGCACATAGTATACTATCGGGAATGATAGATTAATATTGCACGGTGAGGTTATATATCATACTGACTCGATCTCCTGGCGATGCATGTTTACTCTCGTACAATTTGGTATAAAAGTTTGAGGAGTACTGATACTTGAGAACATCAGTTTTGAAAAGGCAGGGGAGAATGCCATCATTCTCTGATAGATTCCACCATTCAGAATTCTTAGTAAAGTCTTCAAAAAAAATTAAATATAAACAGATTGCATGTTATACTTTTATCCATCATCTGTTCTTTCAAATAATTTACTTTATAAGTTGTTATACTAAGCAATGTATAATGGCTAAGGCTAAGGTATCAATGGTTTTTTTTTTATGTATATACTATAGCTGGTTTAAGCATATAACCAAAGCTACTTATTGAAGAACCTTATGCTGTTCCCAGCTTTGTTTGAGTATTTTGTGACTTCTCTTGAAAAACACTATTATTCATTATAGCACAAAGGCTATTCTTATATATATAATTTCTCAGATGGCTAGGCCCATCTTGCTTGCATTTCTTAGTCCTCTGCACAGCATAGTAGTTGTTTTTGTGTTTTTCAGCTTGGTGTAGGGAAAGAGGTAAGGATTTTGAGGGGTTAAACTGACCTACATTCAAATCTTGACTCAGCCTTTTTTTATCAGTGTTACCTTGGATAAGTCATGTAACTTCACATACTAATCCTTTTTAATCCTTAAAGTAATCTCATAAATATTACTTCAGTTTTTTTTTTTTTTTTTTTTTTTTAGAGAAGATTGACCTTTAGGTCACTTACCCAGAGTAAAACAATTTGAATCAAACTTTTCTGATTCCAAAGTAGTCTTTTAATTATATATCATTAAGATAGTAGTGATATAATAAGAGTATCCAGGTTTAAGAAGATAGAAAACAAGATCTTGGTATGAATTTCTGTTGTCACTTTTTGAAAACTGTGTACTCTTGGGACACATCTTTTATCCCTCAGACTCTTAATTTTCTCATCAAATAAATAAGAATGATGTTACCTCATAAAGTTGTATTTGCTTTTTGTAAGCCCTGCTTTTACTATTATTTGGCCTGGGGGCTGTGATATAATGAGGGATTAGCAAGAGGCAGAAATGAAAACAGTTATAGGTAGGGTGGTAGTTGGAAAGGAGAAATGTTCTCTGACTAGACCCTGAGTTCTGTTAAGACAGGACTGTTTTTTATCCCTTTAGCCTCTGCCTCTAACAAATTACTTGGCACTTAGTAGACTGTCAGGGGAATGATAGATTAATATTGCACGGTGAGGTTATATATCATCTGCTATACTGTATTTGTAGATAAACTTAAAGTCAATTTGGATTCAGAACAAGCAGTTAAAGAAGAAAAAACAGTGGAGCAACCTCCAGTGTCTGTCACTGAACCAAAGCTGGCAGTCCCTACAGGCCTGAAGAAATCCAGCAAAAAAGCAGAGCCTGTTAAGATGCAGCAGAAGGAAAAAAAAAGGTAGGAAAATTTTGTTGCCTGTAGGAGAAGAGCGTCTCTGCTGGGGGTGAGAAGGTCTGTTTGAGCTTATTGACATGCAGTTTTCAGTTGAGTACTAAATCCCACTTAATGCCTTAGGGATGCAGCTGTATAACCAAAATGAAGAGAGAAGCTAAGTAGCTTATCTAGTGAAGTAGAACTGTGGAATCAGCCAGTTTAGATGATTTAGAGCCCAAAGCCAGAGTTTTGGGCCCCATCGATCTAAATTGATTGTCTTTTTTTCTTTACTTTGTTTTAAATTTGTGGACATAGCATAAGTGTGCCTGATTGTGTCTGTTTTGCACTTCAGATTGCCAAGTGAAGGGTTGCTGTTTCCAGTTATATTTAAGAGAAAAAGTTCTTTGTTTTCTTTTTATATCAATGAGTTTATTTTTCAAGTGGTAAAATGTAATTAGAAAAGAAAATAAAAAGCACACAAGCTGTTAAAAATGGATCCAGGAATTTGAGACACTACCTCATAGTTGGTAGGAATTAGTCTGTTGAAAGAAATTCTAAAGACACTGTCAGCACTGATAGGCCCAGGAATACTTGACTTTTGTAGCAAGACTGGGGCTACTCTAGTAGAAAACATCAACAAAATGCTGAAGTTCCAAAGGGTCAAGGCTCTGTCCAGTAGGCCTTACCTCCTAGGAATATGTGACGTGGTTGGATTAAAATGTCACTATCCCATGGGAAAAGCACTCATGGTTGATGGCTATAGCCAGGTTACAGCCATTTCATTACCAAGTATGATGTTAACTGTATGTTTTTAGTAGATGCCCTTTACCAGACAGAGGCAATCCTTTTCTATTCCTAGTTTGCAGAGAGGTGTTGTATGAGTGGGTGAATTTTGACAGATGCTTTTTCTACATTTATTGAGATGATCATTTGGTGTTACTGTTAAGGTGGGGAATTTACCTTAATTGGTTTTAAAATGTTAAACCAACCTTGCATTCTTGAGATAAACCTCACTTTGGTCATAATAGGTTATCCTTTTTATAAATTGTTGGATGCTATCTGCTAATATTATAAGGATATTTTTGCCACTGTATCTGTGAGGGCTACACATCAGTTATTTTCTTTTCTGATAATGTCTTTATCAGATTTCAGTATCAAAGTTATGCTAGCCTCATAAAATTAGCTGGGAGCAGTGTCCTGTTTTCTGAAAGAGTATAAGATATGCATTATTTTTTTTTTTCGTTAAAGGTTTGATAAAATTCACCAGTGAATCCGAGCCCAGAGTTATCTTTGTGGGAAGGTTTATTTTATTTATTTGATTTTTAAAATAGAGCTATTCAGATTTTCTTGTTTCTTATTGGGTCAGTTTTGCTTATGTTTTTAAAGGAATTTATTCTAATTTGTTGAGTTTATTGCCATAAAGTTCCTAATTCAGCTTTATTCTTTGAGTATCTGTAGAATCTGTACTTATCACTACAGATTCCTTCATTCTTTCATTCCTAATATTGGCAATATGTAGTTTTGTCTTCTTCTAATCAGGGTTATAAAAGGGTTTATTAAATTTATTAATCGTTAGCCCCAAAATAACAATTTTTGGCTTTAATTTTTTCTATTTTATTTCATTGATTTCTGCTCTTTGTTATTTTTTCCTACTCATTTGGCATTTAATTTGTTGTTTTTTTCTAGCTTGAGTTAGAAAGGTAAATTGATATTTAAAGTTACATAAGAAGTAAGTTACTTGAAGATAAAAACTATGTCTCATACATATTTGAGTAGTGTGATAGAGTATCCAGAGGAGCTAACTAATGTCAAGATAGAGTCTAGGTTTTTATTATGTCATTAGAATCACCTTAAGGTCTTAAGTCTATACCTTTGCCCATATTTCTCTTTAAAATATTTATCTCCCTTTTTTATCTGATACACTTCCACTTAGCTTTCAGTTTTCAAATAAGAGTTTTGTCCCATAGCATTTTGTTCATCCAGTAATATTTATCACATTGTCTCCTGTGTATTGGTTTTTATTTCTCTTGCCAGAGCTTCTTGAGAACAGTATTTTCTTCATCTTTCATCATCCGTGTTTAGCAAAGAGCCTATGTGTACGTAGTAGCTGCTTATTTAATGCTTGTTGAATGATTGAAATGCCAATAGAAGTAAGAAGGAATTTGTAGTGATTCTTTATGAATTGGTGAGTAGCTTCTAATGATCTATATAGAGAGCTAGAAAAATGTTTAATTCTGGTCACCCCATGAAGAGACTAGGTTGTCAAGAGAATATCCTTAAAAAGAATCCTTATTAGTCTACTTTGACTCTTCTGGAATTAAGACCATGAGTTACGAAGCAAGACTCATAATAGCATATAAATACTCATATTTTTATTTTGTGTAACACGCTTAAATTTTTCCTGAATAGCAACAGGGGGAAGCGAGTGGAGTTATCTGATGATGAAACAAAAGAAACTGAAAATATGAAGAAAAAGAGGAGAAGAATCAAACTTCCTGAGTCTGATAGCAGTGAAGATGAAGGTGAGCATTGCTATTAATTTTTGGCTAATGGGATTGTCTCAGTCAGGCTGCTATAACAAAAATACCATACACTGGATAGCTTAAATAAGACAAATTTGTTCCTCACAGTTCTGAAGACTGAGAAGTCCAAAATCAAGGCACTGTCTGATGTGTGGTTCTGGATGAGGAGCTCTCTTTCTAGTTTGTAGGATACCTTCTTGCCATATCTTCACGTGGTAGAGAGAGAAATCCTCTCTCTTATATGGACAGTAATCTCATTCCATTAATTACTTCCCCCACGGCCTCACCTCTAGTAATTCCATTAATTACTTCCCCACGGCCTCACCTCACCTCACCTCTAAGGATTAAAGCTTCAGCATATGAATTTTGGGGGAACACAAACATTCAGTCCGTAGCAGGAGTCAATTCTTATGATGCTCAGGGAGTTAAGAAGTAATTTATTATAGATCACAGTAACAGTAGCAATCCTAGTATTGTGAGACATATAGCACCATTAAAGTCTCCATTAGCCTTTTGACCAGAACTGTCATTTTCTGGTAATGTACGAAAATAACAAATATGAAAGAGAATAAGGATTATTATTATATATATTATCAAAGACCTTTTCTCTTTAGAAAATGAAATGGGGATATGCTTTTGGCCAACTTCATGTCAGTCTTTTAAAATGGGTAATATTGTAGGCATCAAGGGTGGAGGTGGTACAGTGGTGTTCTGCACCACATAAGTATAACTGTGCTAAGATTAAAAATCTATAGTTCATTGTTGAAAGGGAACCATGAACCTTTTCGGTTTCAGGCTGTGGGCTCTATTTTAAGATAAATAGAATAAGGACAAGATTCTTACCTGGAAAATTAATGTGCCTTTTCAAAGAATATCAAGTATTCTAATATCAAGATCTCTTCCCAAAGAGTGTAAATGTGTAAATGAAGGTGTAAAGAAAGAATAGGCTGCTAAGGAGAAAGATGCCTTGGTTGAACTGATACGCCAGATGACTTTTACCCTGCTTTGAGAATAGTGATGAAAAGCTTGAGTTTCTGTAATCAGTTCTCCATGATTTTTTGCCATGCTGGGTATAAAAGATTTTGAGGGGTTAGAGAAATCTAAATCTAGTCCAAAGGAATTCAGCAAAAGGTACAAAGACAAACTGATGCTAAAAGAGATTAAAGAAGAATAACAAATATGGAAAAAACCTGTTCTGCTGTTGTGGGACAAAATAAACTGGCTAGACTCTACTCTTACCAGAAACTGCTGGAAGATCTGAAAATGGCAGAGGAGGCTCCCCCAAAGCAACTCAGCAACGGTATATGTACAAATGAGTGAAAAACCAAATTGTATAAACAAATGACTATAATGCAAAAGAGATGAACAGACCTAAGAAATTACACAAGGAAATTAAATCTGTGATAGAGGTACATCTTTGACTCTTCAATGGATTTAGATCCTAATAGCCATGCTTACATGTTAGAGGTTATAGGCTTTTTTTATTAATTTAAATTCAATTTGCCAACATATAACACCCAGTGCTCATCCCATCAAGTGCCCTCCTTAGTGCCTGTCACCCATGGAGTTTATGGCCTTTTGATATCCTGTGAGAGGTATAGTGCCTACCAGAGCTGTGACTATTTAATGACTTTGGACTAGGTAGAAATAGGGCATTGTGAGCATCCCAGAGCGACAGTTGCTATATACTCATTGCATGTGCTTTATCAAAATGACCAAGACTACTGAAAAGAAGATACCCAAACATGTGGATGCAACAAGAACCATCAAGAAACATTCTGACTAGTTAAGAATTACGGAGAAATGGAGGCAACTCCATGCAGATATATGGGGAAAATAATTAGGAAGTAACAGAGATATGTGCTAATTGGAATAGTCTTCCCTATTTCAACCAGGAAAAGGACTTGGGGAAGATTCTGGAAGAGTCTTTCAAGCCAGCAGCCTAATGTACTTAGAAAAGGTAAACTAGATACTTTAGTGAAAGGAGTCACCTCTAAGTCAAGGAATTACTACGGTTAAGCACTCATTATGTACTTCTGAAATATCTCTGTAGTTCTGATCCTTAGCCCACAAAAATAGTACCTGTGGGTGATTAGAAATATGAGTGGGGCTATTAGTTTGGAAAGAAGAGAGAAGAAATGTGATAGAAGTGGATAACCCATAATAATAGATAATACTGGGACGCCTGGGTGGCTCAGTGGTTTAGCACTGCCTTTGACCCAGGGCATGATCCTGGAGTCCCGTGATCGAGTCCCGCATCGGGCTTCCTGCATGGAGCCTGCTTCTCCCTCTCCCAATGTCTCTGCCTCTTTCTCTCTCTATGTCTCTCATGAATAAATAAATAAAATCTTTAAAAAATAATAAGACTATAGATGAGAGGCTCAGATTTTTTAATCTAGAAAAGATAATTTTTAGGATCTGACTAAATACATAAACCTTTGCCATTTTATTCCTGAATTGTTTGTCTCAAAGCCAATGGGCTTTTATTTTAAACCTTCACACGGTCTCTAACCTGTTACCATTTTATTACCAGTATATACTATTCAGTATGCTGACTTCAGCTAGAAATTAGTAGATGAGCAACAGGAGTAAGGGAAATGGCAGAGACTTTGGAGTCAAACAGACCTGGGTTTAAATCTTACCTCTGCCACTTACTGTGTGACTTTAGGCAGATTGTTTAACTTCTCCACTTCCTTGTTTCCCCATTTCTAAATTGGGGATGTTATCACACACTGTGTAGGTTTTTATGAACATCAAGTAAGATACATCAACAGTACCAGGACAGTGGTTGATATAGCAGGTTTTCTTACAGTTCACCCCACTTTTTCTATGGAAGTGTTCTGTAAGTGCTAAACAATAGTAAGTCTCTTAGAAATTCTGTTCAACTTCATATCTTTAACTACTCAGGGGACTTTTCCTTTGTTTCTCTTCCTGGCAGTCATAAGCACCTTTAGCAGTTCTACGTACTCTGTTTATAAAGCAAGAGAGGCCAGACCCAGAAAGAAATCACATTAAGAGTAATGTCCACATTGCTAGAAAGAAATAGTTTTAATTTTAAGTTTTGCTGACATTTTCAGTTTTTGCAAATTGCTTATGGAGAATGTTAAGCAAATGACCTTCCTCTTTTTAGAGTCAGATAAGTAGTTTAAAAAATTTCCTAGGAACCTATGAATGATTTCCAGGAATTGTAATTATCTGTCTCTGCCATAGAACTCATTGATTAAACAGTGATTACATTGCTGGATCCCTGAAATTAGTTTTACCACAGTTCTTATTCTGCCCCAATAAAGGTTGCTTTCCTGGGGTAAGTGTTAGCATTTACCACCTGAGTACCTTTTCATCTGAAGGGCTGCAAATTCATTACAAATATTTTTAAAATACACTAATGTAAAACATTCCTTATGCTTATGTCTCTAAAAATATATCAAGGGAGAATGCTTGCCCTGATGGTAAAAACTAAAGTAGATAAACATGGGTTATAGCATATGAATGTGGCCAAATTTTTAAAAATCTTTGAATCTCAGGTAAATAAAATAATGGAAATAGTGATTTTTGTTGGGTTATTATGAAAATGAATGATTAATGTTTGTAAAGCCCAGAAGATTCTAGTTGTTTTCCCCATCCTTCCTTCCTTAAAATATTTTACTTAGGGGATCCCTGGGTGGCACAGCGGTTTGGCGCCTGCCTTTGGCCCAGGGCGCGATCCTGGAGACCCGGGATCGAATCCCACGTCGGGCTCCCGGTGCATGGAGCCTGCTTCTCCCTCTGCATATGTCTCTGCCTCTGCCTCTCTCTCTCTCTCTCTCTCTCTCTCTCTCTCTCTCTCTATCATAAATAAATAATAATAAAAAAATTTAAAAAAATTTTTACTTAAAAAATTTTCTTATAGTGAGACACAATTTGAAAAATTAAATAAATAGAAGTTTTGTAATAGATAGTAACCTTTCCCGTCTGACTCATCTAATTGACTGATGCTTCTCTTGTCAACTTTTCTCCCATCTGCCTTCCATCTTCTGGGAATTTGTTGAAAATTCTTATTCATTACAAGTTCCTGGCTCTCTCTTTTCTCTTCCCTGTTATGGTGTAGGGATAGGGGTGGAGGGGCAGGTTCACAGCATTTCATTCCTTTGCCATCACCATCATTGTAATGATTCTCTTTTGGGGGATGTGGGAAGGGAGAGGGACGTTTATGCTGACTCTTCTTTGACCCAGAAGTCCCTCATCCCAAATTTAGTTCAGAAAATGATTGTTTTCCTTTATTAAAAATACTGTGTTCAGTGCCAGGGGAATTGTGGTGTCTCTGCCTTTATGGAGGTTAGAATCAGAGGGGGAGCTAGATAAACAAACAGTTCCATACAGTGTCGTGAGAGGGGTCTTAGAGGGTGCCACTAGGATTAAGTGTTTTTGTGGTTACTGAAGTGGAAATAGAATTAAAACTAAATTTATTACTGTGAGTACTCTGGATTCCTTTTCTTTGGCTTCCTCACTGTGTAAACTTTCCTCCTGCCCCTGTAAAACATGTGACACAGTTTTCTTAATTGCTATACCTTTAGAAAAATAGAAGCTTGGTTCTGTGATTTGACTTTGCTCTTGCTTACTTGAGCTCCTGTCATGTAGCTTCCCACAGCTGGGTTGCTAGCTGGACCACTTTCCTCATATGTTTCTGACTCTTGCTTCCAGAGCTTATAAAGTTTTGGGGCCCATTTCATACTGAAGTGTATAATTTATTGTTTCATTCTGGCTCTTGTTGTACTTCACCTCTTTAGGTCATTTGGCCTTGAACCCTCCAGTGTCATAATTTTTAACACTGACCTAATCAGTTGGGAGAATTTCAGATCCAAGACTTGTGCTAAGAATTTGAATACAGCCAGGAGATTCAGGGAGCAGGTGAGGCTAAGCAGCTACCCAGTCTTTTTACCAGCAATTTCTTTGTGATGATTAAGCAATAGGTCAGCTGAGGATTTTCACTTCCTCTCTCATGGACTTTATACAAGATCAGTATTTCTGGAACTGTTCCGGAATGGTGGGATCCTTCTGGTGATTCTCTCTTCTCGGGTGATACCACTTCCAGGTCAATATTTCTTTCCTAAAAGTGTTCTTTCCTGCCAATCTCACTGTAGCAGAACAGTGTACCAAAATTACTAGAAATAATTGCCCTGTACAATATTGAGCAAGTTTAAGTTGTTAGAGTTATAATTGTGTATATTTCAAAGTGGTTTTTCTTCCAAAGTTTATGCTCTTAAAGTCAGCTGGAAATTTTTGATCTAACATCTTAGATGATTGCAAATAATCTTTATATCACAGTCCCAAAGACTGTGACATAACCCGAGCATGGAACATTTGGTATAATCCGAGCATTATATCCACTTAAAGAAAATGTCTGCCCTTAATGGTGAGGCAACACAGGATAGTTGGGATAGTAAGGCTGTGGCATCAGACTGACTGAGGTTGAAAACCTCTTGCCTCAATTATAAGCTCTGTGATCTTGGCAAGTTCATTAACCTCTTTGAATCTCTTTTTACTCAACTGTAATGTGTGAATAATAATATATGTCTCTTAGGGTTGTTGTGAGGAAAAATGAAATACAAGCGCAATACATGACACATGTAGATGATCAACAGATATTTGTAAAACAACTTTATATCCTGACTTTCCTGTAAAGTAAAAAGTTTAGATAAGATGATCTCTAAGGTATAGTCCAGCTTTAGTAATTCTTAATTCTCTCGTTTTCTTTGTATAAAATTAAGAAAATGTGTTTCATTTTTTTTTTTAAAGATTTATCTATTCCAAGGAAAGAGGGAGACAGAGAGTGAGCAGGGAAAGGGGCAGAGGGAAAGAATCTTCAGGCAGACTCCCTGCTGAGTGCAGAGACCCAGAGGGAGCTCGATCCCACAACCCATGAGATCATGACCTGAGCTAAAACCAAGAGTCAGACACTTAACTGACTGAGCTACCTAGATGCCTGAAGAAAAAGTGTATTTTAAAGATACATAACTGCACAGCCCTTGGTTGTCATGAATTACTGCTTGCAAAATGTCTTATGTTGGATGTGGAAGTTTAAAAAGCCACTGGAGAAGGTATTGTACCAGATAGTACCACAGTTCTCTCTCTTATCTAAGCTTATTTCATTATTTCAGTCATAGCAGATTCTCCTGGGGATTATGAAGCTGAGTCACCATCTCCACCTCCTCCTCCTTCTCCACCTCCTGAACCAGTGCCAAAGACTGAGCCAGAGCCTCCTTCCATCAAGGTAAAACTGTACTGGGATGGTTGCCTTTCCATCTGTCCTTTGTCTCCCAAGGATCTGAAACTCCTTTGCTGAATCAGATGCTGCTGTACATTTCACAGATACCAGTAGAGGGCTCTTGTCTCATTTTGCTCTTCTGTAGGTACTATAGACTGGGCATTCCCTCTCTTATCACCTGAAGTGAGAGTTTGGCTAAAGGGGCAGAATCCTAGGAAGGTTGCAGAGGTCAGGCCTGGGAGTTTTGTTTTTCATGACTTCTAGCATCAGGGCTGCTGTGCTACCCAACTCCTGTTGAAATTGTGCAAAATAAGGTCTTGCTTGCAACTTATATACATTTATTGCTCTTCATGAACTCTCCTGGAACAGGGCAAGGTGAGAAAAGCTGGTAACAAATGGGGAAATATAGTTTTGAATGATCTTCAACTGTGCCTTGTCTGTATCTATTAGAGTAGATAATGAAGAGTTGAGGAAAGGGGTGCTAACAAGTTTTTTTTTTTCCTTTTATGACTGTTAGTTTTCCTTAATTATATTAAGACTGTTGTTTAAATTTTGCACTGATTTATTCATTAGCTGAAGAGAAAATGGATAAAAGACCAGTGGAGATGAAAGGAAATTGATATTAGTAATAACCTATGTGAGACTAAATTAGATGGAGGCAATGTTGCAGTGTCGAGGCTGAAATAGCAAGTATCTACAGCAAGGGGGGGATGCCTTGGAGACCTCTCATGTGGTTTAGGGGCCTTCCCTTTTGCTCCCATAATGTCTGCCACCGCCCTCCATTAAAGACCTTACCACAGTGAACTACAGAGGTCTGTTTGTCTTATTTCTCTCCCCGACTGAGTCCTTGTCCTGGTCTTTTCAGCCATGGGGCTGACACTACTCAACAAAAGTTTGTTGACTGAATGAACAGTTTTGTTGTTGTTTTTTAGATTTTTTAATTTATTGATGAGAGACAACAGAGAGAGGCAGAGACATAGGAAGAGGGAGGAGAAGCAGGCTCCATGCAGAGGGCCCAATGTGGGACTCGATCCTGGGACTCCAGGATCACACCCTGAGCCAAAAGGCAGAAGCTCAACCATTGAGCACCCAGGCATCCCCAAATGAACATAGTTCTTTGCTGAATGTGCTTCTCATCTCATAAACAATTAAACATCCAGCTTGCATGTATAACAGAACTTGTCTGTGGGTAGGACTAGTCCCTGAAAGGAAATGGGTAGAGTTCCTCATTCAACTTTTTATCATCATGGAATAAATATTTGGAGAGTGATTGTTATAGATTAAAAAGCTTTTGTTATTCTTCTCTATAGATTAATTGGTTGGCTGGATGTTGTAACCTCTGATCTCCCTGTGATTTTTTTTTTTTTTTTTAAGAGCTCAAGTGGAGAAAAAAGAAAACGAAAACGGGTGCTGAAATCAAAAACCTTTGTGGATGAGGAAGGCTGCATAGGTAAGAGGGATTTTTGGCTCCAAATCTAGAGATAGAGCTATTACTGTAAAGAGGCTTTGTAATCTCATACAGAGCAGTGCTCCTTAAACTTGAGTGTGCACATGACTCATCCCTAAGTGAGGCCATGCTGCTGGTCTGTGGCACACACTCTGAGTAGCAGAGTATAGAGAAACACTACAACACTAAAGTACAGAATGTGGGTCCTTATTTGGGCCGTATGCTACAGAAATGAGCTTTGAGATCTTGGATGAAAGTCACATCACCTCTGGTGGGGAGTTTCTTGATCTATGGAATGGATGTAAAATATCCATTTTTTATGTGTATGTGGAGTTGTGAAGATGCAGGTGAAGTGACATTTAAAAACCACTTTTGGGGCACCTGGGTGGCTCAGTTGGTTGAGCGTCTGACTCTTGATTTTGGCTTAGGTCATGATCCTAGGGTCATAAGATCGAGACTGGTATCACGTTCCCTATTTAGCAGGGAGTCTGCTGGAGATTCTTTCCTTCTGCCCCTCCCCACACCTGCTCGTTCTCCGTGTGTGTGTGTGTGTGTGTGTGTGTGTGGTGTGTGTGTCAAATCTTTAAAAAAAAAAACAACACACACACACTTTCAAGATGGAAATAGTACCAACCTAAGATGTTACAGACGTTGAGAAACTTTTTTTTACAATGGTTGTTTTATACATTTGAACAGTGGAAAAGAAGCCCCACAGATGATGAGACTCTGAAGAGAGTCAAGAGTCTTCTTGGTATTTTGTCCCATTTGTTCTACAGAGGGGTTTGACTCTTCCACATCACTTCCTTTATGTTTCCTGTTTGTAAGTCACAGGCTTTCTATGGTGACCTAGAGAGGTATTAGAATTTAGACTTTGAGTTATAAGTGATTCTCCAGCCATTGCTTAAGCGTATCTTACCCTTCCCTAGTTGAGCCAAGTTTCTGTGGGCCTTTCACCATGCAACCTCCAGTCCTGATGCTGTCTATCTGTGTTTAGAGAAGGTTGTGGGCTTAGGCTTCTGAACCTCTTGTAAGTTGGCTAGCTCATAATTGTAGTTTCTCCCTTTCTGTGGCACTTGCTCTCCTAGAGTATTTTTTCCCTTTCTTGATTTTCCTTTTCTGGTTCAAAACTTACATCCTAAAAAGATTGATCAACTCCAAAGAATCCACTTTTTCTAGGATATGTGGTTGTTAGAACTAGTGTGAGCTCCATCTCATTGTTCCCCCACCTCCCACCCCTCTGAAAAGGCCTGTGCTGTTTTAATCGTAGCAGATGATCAGGGAATAAAATTCCTTACATGTGGAAATTTGTCTTTTCAGTGCCAAATTTTTTGTGAGCCTGTGAATTCTGGACTTTGAGCAGGGTTGGATTTTTGGTTTTTCATTCTGTTTGGTTTTGTCTGCTTTCAGTCTTTTAATAGTATATTCTCAGGCCTTTTTTTTGTTTGACTATTGGTGATATTATATATATTTACTATTGAAATTCTTGTTTTTCTTTTCTTTTAAATTTAAGAGGACAAAAGGCTCAGTGCCAGTTTTTTCCTCCTTCTACCCCAAAAGAAAAATGTGAGATATATCATTGTGAGCATTCATTGGGAGTTTGTGGCTAATTACCTATTGCTTTGTTCAAAACAGTACTCAAGTTTGGGCCAGGTATGGGATGTGGGCTTTTTGCACTCCTGTCTCCAGACAGGACTATAAAGAGCCTTGGATGCAACAAAGAAAACTGTGCTCACATAGCACTTTTTTTTTTTTTTTTTTTAAGGTTTTTAGTCCAAACTCAACCAAGGAACCTTGGCCCCTGTTACCAACAAAGGAGTTGTGCTTTCCTCTCTCTGTTTGGACTATTCCAAGTGTACCAGCATAGGGGGCTTGCCCTGTCCTATGTTGGATCAGAGTTGGTATGGGGGTTTTAAAAACTGATCTTTCCCTTTTTGTGGTTTTGCTGCAGGGACTAGGGATTTGAGCCCCTGAGATAAGTTTGGGGTAGACTTCTGGATGAGGTGGATTTCCAAGAGCAAACGTTTGAATGGAGAATAATTCTGATGTTACCCACATTAACTGGGTTGTCTTGTGACAGCACAGACCAGTTGCATGTTATTCAGTTAAAATAGAATAAAAGTTCTATATCTTTAAGTTGAAATCTCCTTTGTCTTGTAATTTGAAATAACTACAGCTTTCAATATAGAAATCCTTCTTTTAGCTCTCGGTGTATACCACATGTGCTGCTTAAGAAACTTTGTCAGTGTTGCCCTCACTGGTTTTTAACAACCTCCCCCCCACCCCACCCCCGCCAAGCAATGCATTGCACAGAATTGGCAATGAGACAACCAGTGGTTTCAGTAATAAGTAATGAAATAATGAGCTAATTGATTTTAGAGTTTAATATTATAGACCTGCTGCCATTTGAATACAAAATACAGCTTATGGAGGAGCAAGTCTTACGCTAACAACTACTAGTAAGTTGTTTCTTTTCTATATCTGCATGTGACTCTCATACTTTCCTAATTGAAGATACCGAGTAAATAGTAGCTCATAAGTTTGTTCCAATAATCTTTTCAATTTGTCTATAAGATGGTGGTAGTGTTCAGGGATCATAATTGCTGAACCTATAGGTATACCATGGGAATTCCTTAAGTATCTTAGTGCAACATTTCTCAAACTTGTCTAAGTATATGCATTACTTGAGGATCTTGATAAAATCTAACTTCTGATTCAAGAGGCCCTTAGGCAGGATCTGAAATTCTGCATTTCTAGTAAACTCATGGGAGGTTCTAATGCCTCTGGTCTGGAGCATAGTTGAGTAATAAGGCCTTTGAGAATACTTTGTGTGTGTGTGTGTGTGTGTGTGTGTGTGTGTGTGTGTGTGTGTGTAGCACCTCTAAGTTGACAGGAATCAACAAAATGAATTCTAGGCTCTTGAAAGTAATGACAGATCAACAGATCCTAGAAACTCTTAAGGAGGGAACCATTAATTATTCAACCTTAGTGGGATTAGATGGGTACAGAGAAAGGAAGCTCCACTGCCGACAGCCAGTTTACCTCTAATATGACTTTCCCATTATGAGGGGGAAAAATAGCATGGAGGGGTACTTGCCCTAAGATTACTAGGTGCATCCGTACTTTCTATGAGGCAGTGTTACCCCATTTTACAGGGGAGGAAAGAACAGTGATTGTCAAAGTGTGGTCCCCAGACCAGCAGCACCAGCATTTCCTGAGAACGTGTTAGAAAAGTTAATTCTCAGGCAGCCCGGGTGGCTCAGCAGTTTAGTGTCACCTTCAGCCCAGGGCCTGATCCCAGAGGCCCGGGATAGAGTCCCACATCAGGCTCCCTCCATGGAGCCTGCTTCTCCCTCTGCCTTTGTCTCTGCCTCCCTCTCTCTCTCTCTCTCATAAATAAATAAAATTTAAAAAAAAAGAAAAGGGAATTCTCAGTTCTATCCCCGACCTACTGAATCTGAAACTCTGGAAATACAGTCCAGCAATCTGTTTGAACAAGCCCTGCAGGTGATCCTGATGCACATCAAAAGTTTGAGAATATTTAAGTGGCAGACTGATACTAAAATGCAGATATGTTTGATTCCAAAGCCACTGCCTCTAGAACAATTAGACTAGTATATTTTATTAAAAAGAACAATCAATAATTAAGTGATTAGGAGCACCTGTGTGGTTCAGTTGGGTAAGCATCTGCCTTCAACTTGGGTCATGAATCCGGGGTCTTGGGCTCGAGTTCTGCGTTGGGCTCCCTGCTTGGTGGGGAGTCTGCTTCTCCCTCTCCCATTGCCCCTCTCCCCCCGCATGCTCTCTCTCTCTTTCAAATAAATAAAATCTTTTAAAAAATAAATAATTGGGACACCTGGGTGGCTCAGCGGTTAAAGCATCTGCCTAGGGGATCCCTGGGTGGCTCAGCTTGCCTTTGGCCCAGGGCGCGATCCTGGAGTCCCAGGATGGAGTCCTGCGTTGGGCTCCCAGCATGGAGCCTGCTTCCCCCACCTCCTGTGTCTCTGCCTCTCTCTCTCTCTCTCTCTCTCTCTCTCTCTCTCTCTCTCAGTGTGTGTGTCTATCATGAATAAATAAATAAATCTTAAAAAAAAAAAAGCATCTGCCTTTAGCTCAGGGTGTGATCCTGGGGTCCTGGGATCGAGTCTCAATCAGGCTTCCTGCATGAAGCTGCTTTTTCCTCTGCCTGTGTCTCTGCCTTCCTGTCTCTCTTTCTCTCTCATATAAATAAAATCTTTATAAAAATTAATTAAGTGCTTGAACCTATTATTGTTCTATAAGTGGAAAAATACCTTTCACTTCAATTGTTTGAGCATTTAATTATGCATATTAGGTTACTGTGTTCAACCAAGAGGAGATGTTTTCCCTTATTGCTTCTCTTCAACCTCTGGCTGCAGCCCTTAAGGCTGAGAAAGAATTTAGAGGTTAATACAACTGATTATACAGCTGCTGCAGCTCTCTCAAGTCACAGGAAGGTGGCATTGTACTATTTCTCGTGTTTGGTTTGTGTACCACAGTAATACTAAAGAGACCCTCATCAGTCTCTGACCTCATTGTTGGAAGTTATTGCTTGTGCCCTTTTCAGCTTCTTTGTACTGACTGCTCACTGATATACTTCTTTTCAAAGTTTCCTTTGGGGAGGGGTCAGTGAATTTTATTGATGTAAGAGAAGGCAAAATATGCCTTTGGCTGATAGGGAGTTAAAAGAATTGGTAACTTTGGTTTCTCATTTTATTATTGTCTTTACTTAAAACTATCAAGTTTGTCCTATGATTGAATTTGCTTGGGGCAGTTATCTTTATGATGTAGACCACTGCTTGGTCATTCAGACCTAAGAATCAAACAGTTGAGTATAATTCTTTGTACTTGGGATATACAGAGTGGGTGATATCAGGATAGAACTAGCCAGGAGGGTCCATGACTGTGCGCCCAGCTAGACAGGATGGGGACTGGCATATAGAGCAGAAATTAGGGCCAGGGAAACCAGCAGTGGACATAGGCAAGCACTGTTGGCCAGGGAAGTGAAACTGAAGAAGTCAGGGCATAGAGGTAGAAGTAGGTATCTGAAATATAGACAGTTCCAGTACAGAATTTAGGAAGTTAGCTAGCATAGACCAGGACCCAAATGCAGAATTTGGGCAATCAAATGATAAGGGCCTATTGAAAGGCATGGGACATAGCAGTGAGACAGGATGAATGTTGGTTCTGAGGCCATGTGAGCTCAGGATTTGTACTTCCTACCTGTGGCCGGATGTGATCTCCTGGTGGGAGAAAGCTTTGGTACCAGGTGAGCACACTCGCCTTGATCAGAGGGTCTGAGGGAATCAGAGTGAATGAGACATCTCATTCTCTTAATAGTAGTGCTCTAAATGACTTGACCCATTCCTATCCCATTTTTTCCTTCTTCTGCCAGTGACTGAAAAAGTCTATGAGAGTGAATCCTGCACAGATAGTGAAGAAGAACTTAAGATGAAGACCTCCTCCATACACAGACCCTCCACTATGACTGTGAAAAAAGAACCCAAAGAAGAACGAAAGGGCCCAAAGAAAGGGACTGCTGCTCTGGGCAAAGCCAACAGACAAGTATCCATCACCGGCTTCTTCCAGAGGAAGTAAACAGCCATCTCTGTTAGTTCTGAGATGTGGAGTGGTCAAGGGAGAAGACCAAGGCAGACTCTCACTTACTGTGTAAGTTCATCCTGTGCCTCACCTTGCCTGTATCAAAAGACTTCTTCCATCCTGTGAGCTTTACACTGTTTCTGGTTTTTAACCAAAGGGAAAGCACCCTGGAAGCAAGAGGCAAAAAGAATATTTGAGAAGCTGTTATATGTTCTAAGGACATTTTTTTAAGCACAATCTTTGACCTGTTCTGGAGAAGAATTCACTCCAAAAATAAATTATAACAGGTTTCAGAATTATCACTGAAGCTAGTTAGTTGCTCATTCACTGGGCCCTACCTACCATGCGCCCTGAGCACTTATGGCTCAGGAAGTATTCTTCCTTGTTCCTTTGCATTCTGTGGACTTGTGTGGGTCTTCATTTATCCCTGAAGTTTACTCGACATGTTTACCACTCCCCCTGTAACCTCTTTCCCACTACCGTACTTCTGTGTGAAGCCATTTTCTGTAAGTCTTTTAAATCTTGGTTGGACTAAAGGCTGAAACAAAAATCTCCCCGTAATCCCCTAATCCTCTCTTCCTCTGTTATAAAGTACACTGACACCTGGCTACAGACCAGCTCATTGCTTGTGTTCTCCCCCTTTCACAAAAACTCTCTGGACCTTCACTTGCAATTAGTAAGTAGGGAAAAGCCTCAGGCAGAGCACAAATGTAATGATGTATTCAACTCTACCAGAAATTACTTAGTGTTAGCATTGACGACAGTAGAGACCTTGCCATGCTGCTGACACAGGGCATGCTTTACACTGCTCTTTGTGATCTTTGTCTCCTCCCCTCTCCCACTCAATACTTAGTAAAACCCAGGCAGTGAAATGGAGTAAAATTTCTCCTTATTGAGGAACCTGAATGTTCAGAAACAGCAGTTTTACAGGAATGTAATGAGGAAGAGATAAAGCACACATTTTTATACTGATGTTGTTCATCTGTATTTGTAACCCTCCCATTTGCCTGAAAATACAGGCTGCCCAAGAAAAGATGGAGAGATTGAGTTGTTAGTAGGACTAAACAGCTAGTAAAACATTTTCATTTGTTACTTATGGAAAATAATCTATTTCAATGATAACTTTTAAGTGATTTCCATGATGGCTGGACAGTGAGCTCCGTGGATGGAGATGGTGTGTGGTGGTGATCCTTCACAGTGAGGTCCAGGGGAAAGAACACAGGCTCAGCTGCTGGCGTGACTCACAACTAACAGATGAGGGATGTCTGACTTAGCCTGCGTATGTCGTGATGCAGTCAGCCGTCCACTGTTTAAGGTTATGATTGCAGCTGATCTTGGATTAACGTGAACATCTTTAGCAGCCATCATGCAGCTCTCCGGCCAGGCACTGTGTGAACTTGATTGAGACCAGAAGTTTGAGAGAGGAGTCCTGGCATTATGTCCAGGACTTAGAAGGCAGAGGCTTTGTGTAGCAAGCAAAGGTTAACATATTCCACAGCCTTTTCTTTTTAAAATGTGAAAGGATGGAAAGCCTGCACTTACCTTTACAAAAAACCTCCAGAGAGTGATCTCTTTTAAAATGGTTATTTTTGTCATTGCCTCTAAGTCATTTTTCTAAATAAGAATGAAAAATTAAAGAAAAAACAACGGTCTGGTCTTTTTTTTTTATTTTAATTATTCTGAGATCTCTAGTATAACTGAATTTTGAACTGGAAAGTTCTTGCTCATGGTTGGAGTTCCACCTTTAAAAGGATTATGCAAATCCTGTGATCACTACACCCGGTATGCTGCCTTAACTCTTAGCTGTCTACAAGGCTTAGAAAGGAGTAAAGTGGTGGCCTTTTTTTTTTTCTTTTTATTCAAAACTCCACCATGTTCTCCACAGGAGTTAAATAAATATGAGAAGTTGTGTTAAAACAGTGCTTTAAACTGAATGTCTGCTGAGGCTGTTACTTGACAGAACAGCAGCAGTGTGTGCAGTTATCTCAACTCTGAATAGGAACAAGGCTGGTTTTCAGTTTATATTGTTAAAACTGCACACCCATAGTTTGAGATGAACAAGTTATGTACTGCCTTCATCATTTTTTCAACCCCATGAGAAATCTTAGTTTCAGCCAACATCATTTTTTAGTTTGTTTAGGAGAAAATATAGTCCTGATCTTCACATTGTATTAGTTTGCCTTCATCATTTGCTAGCCATGTGACCTTGGACACATTTCTAAGCCTCGAGTTCTTTGTCAAAATAGAGCTAAAACAAATTACTATGGATTGTCAAGACTGGAGAAATGTTTATTATATGGTATAATAAGCATAAATTTGGTATACAAGTGGTAGCACATAGGTGCTCTACAAGTGGTGGCTTTCTTCCTGATGTGAAAAATGTGCAGTCAGCTACCAGCTTTCTGAAATGTTATCAAGGATATGAGCCAGATATTACACACTGTTTCAAAGTCATCATTATGACTATAAATGTGATCAAAGGGAGAAGATAATTCTCCTATTTTATGAAAAATTTTAGAGAATAGGTATTTTTCTTTTGAAAGAAGGTAAGGATTTCCTCAGCTGTATTTACTATTCACGAAAACATTTATGTGTGTCTACTATGTGTCAGGCCTCTGACCTTGGCACAGGAGGCTATAGTAGCGTCCTGCACTTGTCTACAAGCTCTAGTGGAAGAGGAAAAGTCAAGCCAGTAAAATGAAATTATAACATTCTATGTAAATTCAGTGATAAATAAGCACAGGGTTCTCTGAGAGCCCAGGAGGGTGGACATTCTTTCTGGAAGAGAGAAAGCTAAGCAGATATTTTTGAAAGATGAGTAGGATTTTACCAAGCAAAGAGGAATAGAAAAGATTTCCTAGGCAGAAGAACATGGCTTTGAGGGGAAATAGACAATAGACTTGGGAGTTGGGAGGAAATGTATTGAGAAATGAAGCTGGGGTCCTGCTAAGGAGTTTGGATTTTATTTGAAGACTGTGAGGGCCAATTGATGAATTTTAAGAGAAATAACATTAGAAGTTGATTCTCAGAGGGCAGCTGGCATTTTCTTTGATCTTGTATGCCATATAGTATTTCTACCCATGTGTGCATGTTATATCTTAGTTCTAGTACTATTAAAATTAAAGTTTTAATGAGATTAATGAAAAATATCACTGTTAAAACGAGCCTGCTTAATTCTGGCAGCCAGTGTAGACCGTTGCAGTATTTCCCTTCTCCTCCCCCATCAGTGCAGATTTCTTTAGCAGAAGTCATTTCAGTTTTTTGAAATTGATTAAAAACTGGGTAGTTCTCTGACACACTCAAGGATGTGTGCCTCTACTCACCTCCCTGAAAAGAACTGAGGAGGGGAGGGGGGATGAGTGGAACAGTTCTATTTCTTTTCTATCTTTGTTTCTCTGAGAAGACATTAGTTCTTTTACAGGAGAGAGCTGAAGAGAAGGGCCATATAAGGAAACTAAATAGTTTCTCCAGGACATGAGTAGAATGAGTGCATAATAATGTATTTGCCAGAAACGTACTCTGTGTCAAGACTCGTTTTGGTAAACTTGTCTCCTTTCATTGGTTCCGGGATCTCAGTGTGCTGTAATGCAGCTTTTTACCACCATGAAACATTCTGGGGCTGCCTCGTTTTGTTGTGAGAAGGCAGTATTGCTTTCTGAGTTATTGCCCTGGCGGCTCTGTAAATTAGCCCATGCTGTCACCATGCCCTCTCTGAAGGGTACATTGTACCCAAATGACTGCATTTAGGATTGACTCTTGCCACTCCCTGCTGCATGACACTCCTCACCACTTGTATCTGTGTCCAGTTTTTTTGTGTTCTTAAGTGTGGGCCACCCACAGATTGCCACCCAGGCTCTTTAGCCAGAGAAACTTGGTAAGGCTTCTGGTCCAAACCCACCTTAATTCTAGAATTGCCCTTTCATTTCAAACTCTAAATATCGTCTGGCTCCCCCACACCATTCCCTCTCTTTTTTTCTCACTTGCTCTTGCCAGACTCCTTGTTTCTTGAGGCTTCTCTTTGGCTTCTCCTCCTCTTTTTTTTCTTTTTTTCTTTTTTTAATACTCAAAAGTTCCTCATAGCCAGTCCTTCTTTGACTTCTTTCTTTTGGTTTTTCAGGCTTTCTTCAGGTTCTTTCACATCTTTTACTGGACTGCTCTTGAAGAATGGAAAAACCACGTTAATGGCTGCTTTGGATCATGCAAATCCAAAGTGTCAAGCAGTTGTTGAATGCTAGTTATGTTTACTCCTGAATAGGATACTTTAGAGACTGCTAGAGCTCAGAGGTTTATCATTTTGTAGTGGCAGGACATGCACCCTAAATAGCATTATGTAGCAGTGTAGATGACACTTAGAGAAGTGATATACAAGGGACTTAATAATTCAGAAAATAACCAGGATAATCATAATGGGCAACATTTCATAGTCTTTTGTAAGAACAACAGAGGAGTTAACTCAAGACACAGGCTGGGGAAGGTTCACCATTTGAGTGGATTTTATTTAACTGTTAGAATGTCACTCATCATTTACACAGTCATGGTATAAGTAATCCATTATTTTTTTTAATTTTATTTATTTATGATAGTCTCAGAGAGAGAGAGAGGCAGAGACATAGGCAGAGGGAGAGGGAGAAGCAGGCTCCATGCACCGGGAAGCAGGCTCCATGCACCGGATGCACCGGGAGCCTGATGTGGGATTCGATCCCGGGTCTCCAGGATCGCGCCCTGGGCCAAAGGCAGGCGCCAAACTGCTGCGCCACCCAGGGATCCCTAAGTAATCCATTATTAAGTGAACCTTTAGTGGAGTTATTTCTGTCCTGTCTTAAGAATGAGAATATTGATAGGAAAGAAGTGGGTACCAAGGATTATTCCCAAAGCTAATTTATGGGATATATATTGCATTAGCATAAATTCAGCTCAGTTTTGTGCATGCTCAATTTTGGCATACTGGGAGAGCAGGGTGCTTTGATGGAAACTGTACAAGTTGGGAGGCAGAGAGCTCTAAAGTCTAAGGTACTGACGTTAGTAAGGTACTCATTCTCCAAGAACTTGAGTCCTCATCTTTATTTATTTATTTTAAAGAAGATTTTATATATTAGAGTGAGCATATGAGCGGGTAGAGGGAGGGGCAGGAGAGGGAGAGAGAGAATCTCAAGCAGACTCTGCACTGAGTGGAGCCCAACATGGGACTCGATCTCATGACCTGAACTGAAATCAAGAGTTGGACTCTCAACTGACTGAACCACCCAGGTGCTCCTACTCATCTTTACAGTGAGCTACTTACTTAAAAGGTTTTAAGGCTTTAATGAAATACTCCACAGGCAGCTCCTACTATTGGACATGTATTAAACTCACACTTTGGAGCACCTACTATGTGTCAGGCACTGTTCAAGTATATTAAGAAGTATTAACTCTTAATGCTCATAGCAACCCTATGAAATAGGTACTTTTATTCCAGTTTTACATGAAGAAACTAAGGCAGAAAAGTTAATTAACTTGTTCAAAGTCACAGAGTTCGCAGTTAGCAGGTGACACAGAGCCAAGATACAAATCTTGACCATTTGGCTTCAGTGCCTGCAGTCTCAGCCACTATGCTATCTTGTTCTTGGCTCTATATTAGTTCACACTTTGATACTGCCCAGTGATGATTGATGTTCGTTTTTATAAGTGAAAGTACAACTAGTTGTTCAGTTCCCAGATTGTGAGATGTGAAGGTGATCTTAATGTTTATCTAACTCAACCACTCATCTGCTGCTTGAGTCCTCTCTACGGTATCCCTGCCAAGTGGTCTTGAGTCTATAAACAAAGATTCCATTATGCTCAGTATACCATGCTTACTAAATTACCAAGTTAGATAAGTAGACTAATAAATGTTAAGAAGAATTTAAAGAGAGGCTGGAATAAAATAAAGTTTCCTGATTAATTTTAGATCACCAGAAACTCTTCTAAATAGAGCATAGTTCTCTAAGCAATGCATTTAGTTGGTTTCAGTTTAAATCAAGAACACTGTTTTTCTTTGAAAAAAGATTGTCCAATTTTTGGCCTTGCCTTTGATTTAACTGTGTAAGACAAGAGGAAATTTGGCATTTTTTATCCTATTTAAGCAGTGCTGCAGGTTCACAGAGAAACCCCCTAAACATTTATTGTTCACTTATTGCACTGGAGTAGGACAAGGCCGTGTTTTACATTTTGAATATCAAAACCAAGTTTGGGGTACCTGGCTGACTCAGTTGGAAAAGCATGGGACGCTTGATCGCAGAGTTGTGAGTTCAAGCCCCCATGTTGGGTATAGAGATTACTTAAATAAAACTAAACAAACAAACAAACAAAAAAACCCAAGTTTTTCTAAAAGATGTGTGAAGAATATATAAACGTAGCATAATCATGATATTGTGTTTTATTCTATCATGGAGGGGGATGTACAGGAAGCAGAACCATTTTCCTGCAAATCATAAAGCCTGATATGTGTGTGTTTCCCTTGTATCTCTTATAGTCTGCTTTTAAGTGGGGCTTTATCTTATTTCATCCTTGTGATAATCTGCAAAGTTCTTCTCTTCCCTATTTTTCAGAAAACAAGCCTCAGTTGCTTAGCTAGTATGTCCAACATCTCACAGTAAGGGAGTGAACCAGGGCTAGAACCAAAGTCTTCA